ATCCATCCCCTCCTTCACCCAGAAGGCGGCATCCTTCCAAGTTCAGAGTCAGGCTGAGGTGCCAGGCCTTGTGCTGCTGAGCACCTTGGACAAGTCAGTCAAGTCTGAGAGTCTTGGTTTCCTCATCTGTAAAATGGAGTCCATCCTAGTACCCACCATACAAGACTATTGTTAGATCAAAGACGACAGTGTCTGTTAGGCCCTTTGCACAATGCCTGGCATAGAGCAGGCACGCAATAGATACTTATAGCTGCCATTTTTTAAAAAACCTTAAGGGCTGGGTATGGTGGTTCATGCCTGTAATCCCAGCACTTTGGGAGGCCGAGGTGGGTGGATCACTTGACGTTAGGAGTTTAAGACCGGCCTGGCCAACATGGTAAAACCCCATCTCTACTAAAAATACAAAAAAATTAGCCAGGCATGGTGGCGGATACCTGTAAGCCCAGCTACTCAGGAGGCTGAGGCAGGAGAATCACTTGAACCTGGGAGGTGGAGGCTGCTGTGAGCCGAGATCGTGCCATTGCACTCCAGCCTGGGTGACAAGAATGAGACTCCAAGTCAAAAAAAAAAAAAAAAAAAAAAAAGCCTCATAAAGATTTTTTCCATTTTATTATGAAAACTCAAACATAGAACAGTTAAAAGACTTGTATGATAGACACACATATTCCCACCACCCAGGCTCTACTGTTTACGTTTGGCTGCCTTTGCTTTGTCATCTGTCTGTCCATGCCTGTCTGTCTATGCTTCCATCTGTCCTTTTTCTTTTTTTTGAGATGGAGTCTTGCTCTGTCACCCAGGCTGGAGTGCAGTGGTGCAATCTTGGCTTGCTGCAGCCTCCGCCTCCCAGGTTCAAGTGATTCTCCTGCCTCAGCATCCCAAGTAGCTGGGATTACAGGCACATGCCACCGCATCTGGCTAATTTTGGCATTTTTAATAGAGATGGGGTTTCACCATGTTGGTCAGGCTGGTCTCGAACTCCTGACCTCAAGTGATCTGCCCGCTTTGGCCTCCCAAGGTATTGGGATTACAGGCGTGAGCCACCGTTCCCGGCCTAACACATCTATGTTGTTTCTTGATGCACTTCACAGTAAGTGGTGGACATCCGCTTGTGCATGTCATTGACTAGAGTTCAGTGTTAAAAACAGAGGGAATTATAATGACATCTGACTCGAGGCAGGGGAGAGGCACCCAGGCAGGTGGACCTGGCTGAAGTTGGAAGAGAATGTTCCCTTTCCCTGCTGCTTCTGAGTCTGGAAACTTCTGGGGCCATGTCTGGGTAACTTTAGGGTGGGGCCTGCCGTCCCACAGGGCAGGCCGGGCTGCTGCAGGCCAGTCTTCCCCAACTGGCCCCCAGTTGGTACCCTCAAACATTGTTGAGGCTGCATTGTTGTTGTTGTTATTTTTATTTATTTATTTATTTTTTTGAGACAGGGTCTTACTCGGTCACCCAGGCTGGAGTACAGTAGCACGATGTCGGCTTACTGCAACCTCCACTTCCTGAGTTCAAGTGATTCTCCTGCCTCAGCCTCCCCAGTAGCACACCGCCATGCCTGGCTAATTTTTGTATTTTTAGTAGATACAGGGTTTCACCGTATTGGCCAGGCTGGTCTTGAACTCCTGATCTCAGGTGATCCACCTGCCTCAGCCTCCCAAAGTGCTGAAATTACAGACATGAGCCACTGTGCTCAGCCGAGATTGCATTGTTGTTGAGGCTGCATTATTGTTGAGGCTGCATTGCTGAAGATGCATTGTTGTTGAGGGTGCATTGTTTTTGAGGGTGCATTGTTGTTGAGGCTGCGTTGTTGTTGAGGTTGCATTGTTATTGAGACTGCATTGTTGAGGCTGCATTGTTGAGGGTGCATTGTTATTGAGGCTGCATTGTTGAGGCTGCATTGTTGTTGAGGGTTCATTGCTGTTGAGGTTCCATCGCTGTTGAGGGTGCATTGTTGTTGAGGGTGCATTGTTGTTGAGGGTGCATTGTTGTTGAGGGTGCATTGTTATTGAGGCTGCATTGTTGAGGGTGCATTTTTGAGGCTGCATTGTTGTTGAGGGTGCATTGTTGAGGTTCCATTGTTGAGGCTGCATTGTTGTTGAGGGTGCATTGTTGTTGAGGGTGCATTGTTGTTGAGGGTGCATTGTTGTTGAGGTTCCATTGTTGAGGCTGCATTGTTGTTGAGGGTGCATTGTTGTTGAGGTTCCATTGTTGAGGCTGCATTGTTGTTGAGGGTGCATTGTTGAGGCTGCATTGTTGTTGAGGGTTCATTGCTGTTGAGGTTCCATTGCTGTTGAGGGTGCATTGTTGTTGAGGGTGCATTGTTGTTGAGGGTGCATTGTTATTGAGGCTGCATTGTTGAGGGTGCAATTTTGAGGCTGCATTGTTGTTGAGGGTGCATTGTTGAGGTTCCATTGTTGAGGCTGCATTGTTGTTGAGGGTGCATTGTTGTTGAGGGTGCATTGTTGTTGAGGCTGCATTGTTGTTGAGGGTGCATTGTTGTTGAGGTTCCATTGTTGTTGAGGCTGCATTGTTGTTGAGGGTGCATTGTTGAGGCTGCATTGTTGTTGAGGGTGCATTGTTGTTGAGGTTCCATTGTTGTTGAGGCTGCATTGTTGTTGAGGGTGCATTGTTGTTGAGGTTCCATTGTTGTTGAGGCTGCATTGTTGTTGAGGGTGCATTGTTGAGGCTGCATTGTTGTTGAGGGTGCATTGTTGTTGAGGGTGCATTGTTGTTGAGGCTGCATTGTTGTTGAGGGTGCATTGTTGTTGAGGTTCCATTGTTGTTGAGGCTGCATTGTTGTTGAGGGTGCATTGTTGAGGCTGCATTGTTGTTGAGAGTGCATTGTTGTTGAGGTTCCATTGTTGTTGAGGCTGCATTGTTGTTGAGGCTGCATTGTTGTTGAGGGTGCATTGTCGTTGAGGCTGCATTGTTGTTGAGGCTGCATTGTTGTTGAGGGTGCATTGTTGAGGCTGCACTGTTGTTGAGGTTGCATTGTTGTTGAGGGTGCATTGTTGTTGAGGTTGCATTGTTGTTGAGGGTGCATTGTTGTTGAGGGTGCATTGTTGTTGAGGCTGCATTGTTGTTGAGGGTGCATTGTTGTTGAGGTTGCATTGTTATTGAGGCTGCATTGTTGTTGAGGGTTCATTGCTGTTGAAGTTCCATTGCTGTTGAGGCTGCATTGCTGTTGAGGGTACATTGTTGTTGAGGGTGCATTGTTGTTGAGGGTGCATTGTTGAGGTTGCATTGTTGCTGAGGGTGCATTGTTATGTTGGCTGCAGATGGGGGGGGGCCTGTGACGGGCAGTGACCCAGCCTCTCTCCCCTCATTCTTCCACAGCTGGAGCCAGATGGACTGCTGGTGTGGGTCCTGGCAGGCGCCCTGGGGCTCAGCCTCGTCTTCTCCCTGGTCTCAGTCCCATTGCAGTGCTTCCAGCTCAGCAGAGTCTACGGCATTTGCCTGCTCCTATTCTACCTGAACTTCCTTGTCGTGGCCCTCCTCACTGAATTTGGAGTGATTCGCCTGAAAAGCACGTGACTGAAGCTGCTTAGTGCTATGGCCTCACTGCAGGCAGGAGCCCCGCCCCTCCTGCTGGGGGAGGCCCAGGGACTGGAGCATTTCTGCAAGGCCCCTGTGGACATGATAGCATGCCCCTTGCTGCTGGAGATCCGAGGTCACTGCTGGGAGCTGAGAGAACTGCTCTGTACTTTTTTTTTTTTTGAGACGGAGTCTTGCTCTGTTGCCCAGGCTGGAGTGCAGTGGCATGATCTCGGCTCACTGCAAGCTCCGCCTCCCAGATTCACGCCATTCTTCTGCCTCAGCCTCCCAAGTAGCTGGGACTACAGGCGCCAGCCACCACGCCTGGCTATTTTGTATTTTTAGTAGAGATGGGGTTTCACTATGTTAGTCAGGACAGTCTTGATCTCCTGACCTCGTGATCCGCCCGCCTCGGCCTCCCAAAGTGCTGGGATTACAGGCATGAGCCACGGCGCCCGGCCTGCTCTGTACCTCTTGCTGCCAGCATCTAACAGCCTTGCCGTGGGGACCTTGGAAACCGGGCTTTGCTCTGGACAAAGGGTTCCAGAGAGAAGCTAGAAGGCCCCCTTGAATGACCCCCAGAGCCCCTCTGAGAAGGTCTGGAGTTTGGGGGAAGGGGACAGCTGGGTGTGTTCCAGGCCATGCTGGAGGTACCCCTGAGACACAGGCGCTGCCCATTCCCCTTGCCTGGGCTTCAGGCCTTCTGGCACTTTTTTAGGGCACAAGTGGCTGCCCAACCCTGACTCAGAGAACAAGGGTGGCTTGGACCCCTGGGAATCAGGCCGCCAAGGGCTGAGCTCCAGAGCTGCACCATCTGCCAGAAACAGAATTCAAGACATACTTAATTTTGAATTTCTCCTTGCCACATTAATAAAGCCAAAAGCAGCAGGTGCCATTCATGGCAATACACTTCACTGAACCCACTTGCTCCCAAAACGACGTCAGCCCGAGGCACTGCTACGCCAGCAGCTGCCACATGGGATGGCGGCTCAGGCACTCCCTCCAGGATTCTGCCCCGACTGTCCACAAACTCCTTTGTTTGTGCTGGAACTTGGGCTTCTCCAGCTGCCAAGCAGGAGTCAGTAGGACCGTGCCTGTGCCTCCCTCAGGGGGGACCCTGGGCGGGGTTCCAAGGCCTGTGAGCTGGGAAAGGACAGATGAGGGGACCTCGTGCCTTCTTACTGTCATGCCCTGCCTTATGTTGCCGAAATAAGCAACTCTTAGGTTTGCCTGACTGCCTTATGCTGGTAAAGAAAAGGGATTCAACTGTCTTTTTTCCAAATAAAAAAAAAATTCAAAATTTCAAGTGTAGAGAAAATGATACCCCCAACTATCACCAGTTCTTCCTCACCTGGGGCCAGGTCCCGACTCAGGGTGGGGCTGAGGCAGGATCAGGAGTGGCCATGGCCTTAGATGGGACCACTCTCCTGACAGTACCCAAAACCACGGAAGTCAAGAGGCAGCAACCGTGTTTACAAAGCAGAGGCTCTTTTATTAATATGCCAGAAATCCAGAGACATAGTGGGTTTTCTAGGAAACAAATCACCAGTGTACAAAACCGTACAGCATTGCTCCTGTGATCCGTACAAAATGATTGTCTGCATGGTGGAGTAAGGCTGGGGTTGTGGGAGGGGAAGCGAGGAGCTGGGGAGGAGCACGGTTCTATTGCCGCCACCACCACCAGGCTGTGCCCCTGGCTGCCAGTGAGTGTCACTTGGGTGCACTCAACTGTGACATCAAGGACGAGAGGGCATCTGAGCTAGATCACATCCCAGGGCCCACAGAGCTCACAGCCTGTGGGGGGACCCCAACTCCCTGCTTGGTGGGGCCAGGCATAACCTGGAGATAGCTGTCCCTGGCCTCAATGACAAGGGCGCCCACCTCTGGTCTGCTAACACTGCTGCCATTAGGCATTTGTCGGGTCCTGGCCAAAACCAGGTCCTTTCTCAGGACAGGGTTGGGCGGATGGACACATGAACTTGCTCTGAACAGGGCTGAGATCCCCCTCCTCCTGGAATAGGCCTTACTACCTGGGGGCCTCGACTCCCCTGGGCAGACCCTGGGGCGCTGCTGGCCCCTCCAGGTTTCCACCCCTGGGGAGAAAAGGCTGAGGCAAGGCCCAGATGCTCAGAGGCCCAGAGACTCACTTTAGAAGCTGTCCCTTGACCCTTGCTTCCAAAATGCCCATTTCAACACACAAAAGCTAAAAGGCACCCAATTGTGCAATAAAGTTCCCTCTCTGCAAAAGGGAGGGGTTCTGGCCTGGGGCTCGATGTGGAGCTCCCGGTGATGGCCCATGGCCCTCCAGAGAGGAAGAGGACAAAGCCAGTCTGACTCCCGGGGGAATCACAGTGATTCTCAATAATTTGTGATTTTCCCAAAGGGCTGTGCTTTAAAAACAAACACCCACCACTTCTCCAACTCCCCTGACCTGGGAAGAGGGGAAGGGGAGAACCATGCCATGCTGGCTATGGGATCCAGCTTGGCCTTGGAGGTGAGCAGAGGTTGGGGGTCCAGGTACTGCTCCCCTGGGGTTGGGTACCACCTCGCCCATTCGGTGGCTGGGAAAAGGACAAGGCCAGAGGGAGCCTCTGTCCACCTTCCTTCTGAAATCACAGAAAGCAGGCACCAGAGGGCCGGGGTGGCCGGGAATGCCCAGCAGCGCACTCCTTGCCCTCCGCACCCTCCATGCTGCCGCTGCAGCTCCTGCTGTGGAACCTGTGCTGTGCTCTGTTCTGTGGCCCAGGAAAGCGGAACCAAAGCAACCTCTGCACTGACCCTGCCTCTGTGGGTACTGTGGCGGGAGAGGGGGGTGGTGACGTTAACTGAGGGTTCATCTGAACCTACTTCTGCACCAACAGCTCCTGCTACTGCAATCTCTGGTGTGAGCAGAGCCAGGGAGCGTGGCTGGGAGCTGGGTCACGGCCACAGGGCTGCTGCGTCCCACAGGGAGCGTCTCCTTGTGCTGTTTGCTCCTGTTCCTAGTGCACATGTGTGAAGGACCTGGTATCAGCTTAGCACAATCCTTAATCAAAATGTTGTTTTGCTTGAATGGGTAAATCACAAAAAAGGGATTTGGTCAAGAGCCCATTCCAGGAAGTGGTCTGGGTTACAGACATCGGCCCTACCTCCTGCCTCATGCCCCTTCCTCCAGGGTCTGGGTCCCCAAGGAGGCCACTGTGGAAGGATTTTTGTCAATAAGGGTTAAGCCAGAGAAGGCTGGGTGGGAGGCTTGCAGAGCCAAGAGAGGAGACTGGTCAGTGTAGTCTGGGGCCGCCTGGAACTGGCTAACTGAGCTCTGGCCACATGGGCACAGTCACCCCAATTCCGCTTCCCATTAGATCCCGGGCACTGGTCCCCGAAGAGTGTTGCGTGACATTATCACAGAAGCTGAAATACCACCCTGGAGACCAGGAGTTCTTTCCTTCCTAAGTGGTTCTGTCCCAAAAGCAAAACACAGAAACCTGTGGCATGCCGGCAGGGAGACGGGGTGGGGATGCCATCAGGTCGGGGGGACGTGAGCCTGAAGCAGTAGCAGTGACGGCTTTGGACATGGCCGATGGAGGCCAGCCCACGTGGGGGGCAAGCCCCGCAGAGTCGACTGGATCCAGGTGAGGGGTTTCCTTGTGAAGGGGCTTCTGGAGCCTTCCACAGTAGGAAGAGCTCAGACCTGGTGGCCACACCCCACCCCTCACCAAACTGGCTTCTGGAGTTAAGGAAAACAGGGCAAGGTGGTTATAAACCAAGCCCCATCTTGTCTGTCTTCTTTCTTCCTGTATATAAATATGTGCATATACGTGAGTATGTGTACACACACCGCAGTTCCGTACATCGCAGTAGAGTAATACTATTGTGTTATTGCATAGAAGAGATAGCTTTCGGGCACTGGGCTAGGTAACAGTCTGGGAGCGCTGGCGGCTGCTGGGGGGCTGCTCGGTGGCGGGCGCTGCGCTGCTGCTGAGCTGTCGCTGCTGCTCCTGCTCCCTGGCATGCTCCTCGTACCACTCCTGGAGAAGAGAGCAGAGCGGGCGCTGAGGGCTGCACCCCACCCCGTGCCCCGCCCACCCCACAAGGTCACACAGCCCACAGCATCCAGGCTGGAGGGGGCAGGGCTGCCAGCCTCACCCAGCTGGTACTGAAACTCCCCTGTCACAGGCCCAGAAATGCTGGGAATTTTGAATATGGCCCCAGAGGCAAAAATGACAATGAAATCTTTCCCTAGTGTCTGGAGGCTTGCACACAGCAGCTCTCCAACAAGTCCAAGCAGGAACAACCCTCGCCCCTTGTTTGTGAGCATAACCCTTCACTAAAGGGTCCCCCTGAGGGACCCCTTTTGAGCTTGGCAGGAATTGTGTCCATTTCACACCTGAGATACTGAGGCTCAGAGCTGTATTGTGCTAATACTTCACCTAACTTTCACCCTCCAACAGGAATGTGAAGTCATTCTGAAAACATCCAACAGTGCACCACCCAAGGCCATGATTATAACCTCTGACATTTTCAGGGACTGAGGTATTCAGGTAATTAAGGAATTAAGAAGTATACCCCACATTTCCTTTTTTTTTGGAGACAGAGTCTCACTGTGTGGCATAGGCTGGAGGGCAGTGGCGAGGTACGGCTCACTGCAGCCTTCCACTCCTGGGCTCAAGTGATCCTCCCGCCTCATCCTCCCAAGTAGCTGGGAATACAGGCATGCACCACCATACCCTACCCTACTTTTAAAAAGACTGAACCATAGACTTTTAGAGTTTTGAGATGGCCTAGTTCTGACCCCCTTGTTTTACAAAGGGGAAAACTGAGGCCTGGAGCAGATGGACAGGCAGAAGGGCAGAGGCCGAGGGCAGCACACCTCCCTCCGACCACACCTGAGTGGGTGCTGCTGCACAGTTGTCCGCTTGCACAGACAGGCATGGAGTGACTTGCCCAAGGTCAAACGCTTCTATTATTTCCATGTCTCTGTGATACCAAGTTCAGTGAGCCACTACACATCAGCCCAGAGAACACTGCCTGAGTCTCTTGTGTTCCTGAAGAGAATGTGTAAGCTGCTTTGGGGATGGCACCTTCTGCTTTTCAGGTGTGGACCCTGGTTGTCACCGTTTTAGTGAAACAGAAGGGCTTCAAGCTGTTAAAATGCCAGAAAACAGAGCAAAGCCACCACAGCTGGTGTAGGAGAGGCTCCCCAGAGCCCTGGCAACCCTGAGGTGGTTGAGAAGACCCTGCAGGGCTCATGTGCTGGTGGCCCACGGTCTGGAAGGCACAGTGCCAAGTGCCAGCCCACATGGTGCTTTGTGAGATATTTTCCTTAGCTGCCAATATGTAGAGATTGGGAGATTGTGCAAAGAAAAGGAAAAAGAAAAACATCTGACTCTGCCTTTTTTTTTTTTTTTGGAGACAGAGTCTTGCTCTGTCACCCAAGCTGGAGTGCAGTGGCATGATCTTGGCTCACTGCAACCTCCATCTCCTGGAGTCAAGCAATTCTGCCTCAGCCTCCTCAGTAGCTGGGATTACAGGTGCACAGAACCAGGCCTGGCTAAATTGTGTATTTTTAGTAGAGACAGGGTTTCACCATGTTGGCCAGACTGGTCTTGAGCTCCTGGCATCAAGTGATCTGCCTGCCTTGGCCTCCCAAAGTGCTGGGATTACAGGCGTGAGCCACCGTGCCTGGCCTGCCTTTTCTTAAATTAGCAGCCAAGGTGGCAGGATCGCTTGAGGCCAGGAGTTTGAGACCATAGCAAGACCTCACTGCTACAAAATAAGATAATTAGGGTGTCACGGTGCACACCTGTAGTTCCAGCTGCTTGGGTAGGCTGAGTGGGGAGGATCACTTGAACCCGGGGGTTGGAGGCTACAGTGAGCTATGATCGCGCCACTGGACTCCAACCTGGGTGACAGAGCAATACCATCTCTAAAAGAAAAAAAACAAACACCCAATTATGAAAAACTCCAAGCGGTCCCAGCCTGGCCAACATAGTGAAACCCCATCTCCACTAAAAATACAAAAAGTAGCCAGGTGTGGTGGTGTGTGCCTGTAATCTACTGGGGAGGCTGAGGCAGGAGAATCGCTTGAACCCAGGAGGCGGAGGTTGCAGTAAGCCTAGATCGCGCCACTGCACTCCAGCATGGGAGACGAGCGAGACTCCATCTCAAAACAAAACACCAAGCAGCCTGGCCACAGTAGACCTTCTTCCTATTGGGCAGCACTCGCTGGAGCTGGGAGGAGGCTGTGTCCCTTTTGGACAGGCACATCCTTGCCAGTTCACCACCGTCACTGCTCTTTCCTCTTTGCTCGCTGTTTCTTGCTACACATGTTTGAGTTTGCAGCTGACTCAGAATAAGAGATGGAGACGAGGTTCTGGAGAATTCATAAGGGGCAGGGACATATGGCGGCAGGCAAACGGGAGAGCTGCCTCTGCTGTGCACGTGTCAAGGGTTTAAGGCTAAGTGGGCCCCACTCAGGTCCCACACAACCCCCAGCAGTGGTCCCGATGGACGATCCGCATCTCTACCAGCCTTCTCCCTCTCCTCAGAGGGCTGGGGAGCAGCTCCCTGCCCCTCCCAGGCTGTAGCTCGGGGGAGGACTCGCAGCGTGGTCAGCCAGGCTCCTACCTGGATCTCTTCCTGGTACATCTTCAGGCTCAAGTCGCTCTTGGTCCTTGATCGCCGTCCCAGAAACACCATGGAACGTTGCTAAGGAAAAGCAGAGGCTGCAGGGCTGGGCTGCAGATGTTCAGGTCCCACCCCTGGTGCCACAGCTGGCCTCTCCCACTTCTCCGGCTTTTGCAACTGTGTCACTCAAAAATGTTACCAATATCTGAGGGAAGGGATCACACCATGGTGAAACCTGCCTCCCTCCTTCGGACCAGGGCCTGGGCTCCTCACCTGGTATCTCTCCATCTGGGAGAGGGTCTCCAGCAGCCGGGTGACGTCCGAGGAGGCCCCCTGTGCCTCCCGGTAGAGCTCCAGGACAGCAACCAGCTCTTCTTTGGAGATTTCCTTCTCAAGGGTGATGCCACCATCAACTGCAGGGAGGGAGGGCAGGTGTGGGAAGGGCCTGGGGCTGGAGCTGCCAACCTGGCTGGGTCTCGTACCTCCCTGACCCCCCTCCACAAGGGGTCTTAAGGTTCCCTCTCTAAACCGACACTGCATTGGCATCCTGCTCTCCTCCTCGGCCCTCCCTTCCCTTCCCCTCCCTCTGCTGTGATATCAGGAGTGCAGGTCTAGCCAGCAGCTGTTACAGGGCCAGAGGGTTTCAGGAAGGGGCCTCTAAACACAGAGAAAATGGTCAGACGGTCTGATACGACAGAGATCTGAGGATAAGTAGTAACAGGTGTGGGCACGGGGTATTCTGTCTGTTTTGAGAGACAGGGTCTCACTCCGCTGCCCAGGCTGGAGTGCAGTGGTGTGATCATGGTCACTGCAGCCATGACCTGCTGGGCTCAAGCAATCAAGGGCGGACAGTTTTGAATTTGGGAAGAGTGAGGCAGTCACTAAAGCCAGCACCATCCAGTTGCAGCAGGAATACGATTCGCCTGTGCTATAAACAATGTTTACACCATTTAAATCAAGAACCGTAATGTGAACCTATTATCGAGAAATGTGGAGATGACTAACAGAAGAAATAGCTAAGAGGGAGAAGCCTCTGGAGGATGGGAGGGGGAAGGCAGGGCACGGGCTGCTGCTGCCACATAAGCCTTTCTCTACTTCTTGATTTTTCTCCAACTATGACATGCACTCTTTTTTTAAAGTTAGATCATGTCTTCTGACATTAAATATTTGAAAATCAATACAAATACAAGATCTAGAAAGACAAGCCAGATAGATAAGCTGGACAACCAGACAGCAGAAAAATGACAGCCTGATGGCTGGCTGGACGGCCACCCAGACAGACAGACAGAGCTGGGTGGGCGGCAGACATCAAATGCCCAAGGCCTCATCCCTGCAGACCTTCCGAGTCCTGGTTCTTGCGGCTGTAGTTCATTCGGAAGACGAAGGCCTCCAGGATGAAGGCGACAATGATCGTCATCACCACCTGGCCAGGGACAGGAAGGGAGGGGCAAGACAGGGGAGGAGGGTGGGTGAGTGTCCGTGGCTGCGCAGCCCACGCCCAACAGAGCCCGGCCATATGGGACCCAGCCCCACTCCCTGACGCTGCAGCCTGAAGAGCAGGGGCGGCTGGTGACATGGAAGACGAAGGACAAAGAGCGTTCTGTGGTCCGGGACCTACCATGGTCACAATGTAAAAGGTCATGAAGTAGAGGCGGCTCCAGTGGGAGGTCTGAGAGGTGACGCCTTCCTGGAGACCAAGAGAAGCAGCCAGTGAGGGGGTGCCCATGCAGGGCAGGTCCCCGTCTACACAGGCTGCTCCACGGCCCTGGCTCTTCGTAGACCCCACCCTGATTTGTGGCTGGCTGTGAGAGACGGAGGGGTGGGAGCTTGCCCCCCTGGCCCAACACTAATTCCTGACTGCTGAAGGAGCCCTGGCTGCTCCCTTGGACGGCTGGATCCAGAACCAGGGCAGCCTTTATCTCAGTAGGGCTGGGAGTCGGGAAAGTTTAAGGAATGGAATAAAGAGATCAGCAATGCTCGCCGCATTGTCACTAGAGGGAAAAGTCATCCCTACAGTGGGCAAGACAGGACAGAGACCCAGAGTTTAAGTGCCATCTCCTGGCTGCTGGGAACATGCAGGGAGATGGGAGTGACAGCCGAGTCCAGCCAATGCTGGGAAGGGTGGCTCCCCGGGCCCAGCCATCCTGTGGCTGAACACCAACACAGCATGACTCAAGACCCCCAGCCCTGCGGCTATGGGAAGAATGATACACCCTGGGTTGGGGGGGAGACCCAGGGTCGACCCCAGGACTGACAGGAAGACACCCCCAGAGGTGCCCAAGCTCTTACCATGATGATGTACCAGTTGTTGACAACTGTGAGCTCAAACAGGGTCACTGCCAGGGGAAGGGAGAAAGAAGCATTCTGATGAGGCCCCACTTCAAAGTCAACTTCGAGTGGCCTCTTGCCAGCTATCCTGGGTGCCGTGTGCTGAGATGAGGGGGTCACCATATGACCGCTTGGGTTGTGAGCTCCAGGAAGGACCAGGCAAGGCACTCCTAGGGCGCTGGCTCCACAGGACATTGTGGCCCGGCCCCAAGAGGACACACCCTCTGCCTCGGCAGCCTGTGCCACACGAGACCATCTGGATCTTACTGGGTGCAGATCTGGGGTGTCATGGGGGCACACCCTTTTTCTGGAGAGGCGGTTTGGCTGTGTTCGCCTCTTCATGGGGGTGGGCAGAGGGCTGTGGGCAGCCTGAGCTGGGGGGCAGTGCAGCTGCAGCAGCATTGGTGTGGCTGGGTCCCATTCTGCAAGTGGCAGTGTGATGAGGGGACCCCGCCCAGCTAAGGCTTGCAGCTCTTCTCCTCCCCAAATACTGAGAAAGTATCAGGAAAGAGTGGAATCAGGCAACCGAGTGAGCTCCGGGATCCGGCCTGGACTTCACTGCTAAGGCTGGGCAGACCATGTCCTCCACCTGGGCCGGGGAGGCTTCCAGAAAGTGTGGCCCTCGGTGCTGGAGGGAGAGGCCCAGACACTTTTGCTACAACACCTCTGGGACCCGTGATGACAAGGGCGGGGTCCCCAGGGAATGTGCCCCCTGTGATTTTTCCCACTCACCAAAGCTGTTGAGGATGTTGTCAAAATTATTGAGATAATAGTAGCCTTCCTCCACCACGGTCCTGTTGCCCACGGTGTGGTTGCGCCAGCGGTAGGCGTCTGCCACTGTACTCGTGCTGGCCGGAGCACAAGGGAGAAAGGAGGGAGGGTCACAAGGCGATCGGTCACCTCCAGAGAGGACAGAACTCTGAAACAAACCAAAGTCTGGCCAAGAATCCTTCTGTTCTGCCCGCAGTCTCGTTTCCTGCCTAACCCTCTCCACCTCATGCCTGGGTCCCCGCTGGAGGAACGCCCTTGGCTACTCCTGCCTGCTGGGCTTGGTGGGAGCCCCTGGCCAGCCTGACCCACCTCTGTCACCTGGAAGTTCTCTGCCGCAGGCGGGGCCTTCTCTCTCACCACTGCCTGCAGGGGAGGGAGGAGAGGCAAGGGCCTCCTCTGCACCTGCCCCATCTAGGATCTGCTCTTGAGGCTGGACACTAGGCCACAGCCCCAGGGAAAGAATTCCCTACTTGGGCTTCCCTGATACTTGGCCTGAGCAAGTATTTGAAAAGGTTGGCCCTGTTTTGAGGAGCTCATATTTGCCACTTTTCTTCTAATCCTTTATGGCTGTTGTGTTAATATCCATGCTAATGTTTATAGAAGTCTAGTGTCTGGGCCACCAGGGAGCCTCCTTCCACATGCACGCATCAGATGCACGGGTGAGGTCTCGAGCTTGCACTAAGCTCCCTGGTGACTGCAATGTGCTCTAAAGTCTGGGACCCACTGCTATAGGCTTCTGGTTCCAGACCAAGCTTGACACTCAAACTGGGTCTCAAAGCTACCAGTGTCTTTGTAAAACTGTTTCCTCATCAGTGCTTGAGGCTGTAAAGACCAAATGCAAGAGGACTCTGAACTGAGGATGAATGAATGGCGGTGTGCAGTGATTTCACTGTGGCGGCTCAGGAGAAAGGGAGTGGTCATGGGAGATTTCACTCTCTGCTCCCCATCCCTGAGCACCATGACCTTCTTGCACGTGTCCGTCTGTCTTATCCTATGATGCTGTCCCTAGAAGACTGGTCTTGGCCCAGGTCCCCAGCCACTCCAGGAGATAAGTGGGAGGAAGCCATGGCACTTGACCTCTGGACCCGGGCTACTTCAGGGGTGGTCTCCAGCCCTCGGCAAAGGGTGAGCTGACGGCTCCCGACCCTATCTGGGGGATGGGGAAACAGGGACCCTGAGTCCAGGACCCTCGTTTAGCTCACTGCACTCAACTAAGCCCTGAAAGCAAAGCAAGGTGGTTGCTCAGAGAGGAGCATCCCTGAGGACCCCAAGGCCACAAGGACACCAATCCTGGCCCTGGCCAGCCCTCTGCCCTGGAAACGCAGACTGCCTGGGGCTGGGTGGGGCCGGGCACCGCCTACTCACTTGCAGCAGTTGGGGAAGACGATCCCGCAGAAGAACTCCATGCCCACGATGGCGAAGGAGTAGTAAAAGATGAGCAGAGTGAGGCCCAGGCTGTGGGGGCGACAGGGGCAGGGTGATGCGGGGCCGGCAGGAGGGGGAACGACTCCTCCACAGCCCCGGCCTCCTCGGACCCGTGGGGCTGACTGTGGGGCCACGCCCCAGGTCGGTTCACCAACTGGAAAGTGCCTGCGGGGAAGGGGCCTCGTGGGGCAGCTCTGGGGTGAAAAACGGCTCAAGTCAGGACGCTATGAACAAATGCCCCTTTCCCAGAGATTCACCCCTTACCTGTGAAGGTAGACTCACAGGTGACCCCTTACCTGTGAACGTAGACACAGGTGGTAAGCAAGTTGACAGCTCCCTGCCCTCCCTACTAAACATGTCAGACAGGTCAGTGGAGAAAAATGGTGCCCAGGAGACCTGTGGTGGTCAAGATTCCAGGCTCCTTGGAGCCCTGTCAGGCCCTCAATTGCAGTCCTTTGTGGAACTCCTTTCCCCCAACTGCCACTCGGCTCCCGCCCCCACGGGGCACCACCGCATGGCACCTGGACCTGCAGGCCGGGGTGGGGGCTGGCAGTACCTGGCCATCCGGGGCAGCAGCTCGAACATGGTGTCCAGCACGTTGCGGTAGCGCTCTTTCAACTTAAACAGCCTGAGTGAGGAGGACGCCCGTCACCTCCACACACAGGCGCATGCCTCAGCCCCCGCCCTCAGAACACGCCAGCCCCGCCTTCCACATGCCACATGCTGAAGACAGGCGAGGGCATCTCCTCCACCTGCGTCTGCTCCCTTGGGCGCCACCAACCCTGAGCTTGGCCCAGGTGACTCATGCATGAAGGAAGGGACCGTGGTGGCCCCAGGACACCGGCTGGGCGGGGCCGTTCCACGACAAGGAGCAGGGCCAGGCTGCGTCTCCTTGCAGTAGAGCTGCAGGCTCAGACAGGAGCAAGGCCTGGCTCCCGGGGAAGACGGGGGAGAAGCCCGTGTGCCCCGGGGAGTAGGGGCAATGGAGCTCACCAGTGAAGAAGGGTGGCAGGGAGTGGGAGGGAGGCGGACACTCAGGGACAGCCCCAGGCCACCCCCACACGCCAAAGCGGTAGGCTTTTCCTCCATAGACGCCACCACCCCTCCCGGCACCTGCCCTGCCCATCCCGCCTTGGGAGAGGATGGGGTGGACGTGGATGGGGTTGCAGCTGGAGGGTCAGGAGGCAAACCCAGGCTCTGAGGGCAGAGAACCTGGGGACCCCTCATTAGGAAGAGATACCATCAGTGGGGCAGGCTCGCCTGGGACTTCCTCCAGTGTCCCTGGGAAATCACTGGGACCCACACAGGACTTTTCTCCACTAGAGGCTGAGCCAGAAAAGCACAAGGGGTCCCTGAAAGGCCCTTCCAAGCCTCAGACCTGTGGCTCTGTGATCTGCGACTGAGCACATGGGCTCCTGTGGCTGGTGCCATGCCACCTCGGGTGGGGTGCACATGAGTCATGGGCTGGGCTTCTCTGCCCAGAGGTGCCTGGTGCAGTGAGGGGATGGGCACAGGCAGCCTGCATACCCTCAGGGGTGGGGATGGTGACCCCATGGCACTTCTGCAGGGGGTGACATCTATGACTCTGGCTTGTGAACCTTCTGGCTCGTTCTGGGTCACTTCCTGGACCAATCCTGGGGCATTCCCGCCCTCCCTCTCTTTCTCCCTCTCCTTCTCCAGCTCTGCCCTGCCCCATCACCTCAACAGCTGGAGGGGGCGCAGGACCACGATGAAATAGAAGGGCTCCATGTTGAGGGCCAGCGCCAGCAGTCCCAGGAAGGCGAACACTGTCACGGAGAAGTCAAACCTGCAGGAGGGGAGAGGCCAAGGTCCACCCTGTGGCCCTGAGCCTCCCTGCGCCTGCTCCCCTCCCCGGCACCGTGCACAGCCACCCTCCCACGGAGCCCAGACACAGCAACACCAACAGGAACCAGCCGGCTGCGGGAAGAACTTCCTGCCACCCTGGGGCTTCAAGGTGGCCAGGCCCTGTCCCAGCATGCGTCTTGGGAGTCAGGCCTCAGTGCTCTGACCCCAGGGCCAGAAATGCCCGGGAACCCCCTCCAAAGGGCCCCGTGCTGGTCTAACGACGGGGAGGAAAGAAGCCCCGGAGTCCGCAGCCCTGGAGACAGGCCTCGTCTTCCGCTCAACAGATATCTGGCTACACACTGCGGACCAGCCTGACCCCAGGGAACTTTCTGAGGGAAGACAGCAGGCCCTTCCAGTGAGATTCCCATTAGAACAGCTTGCCCTGCCCCAAGCCAGAGGACCCTCTCTCCTCTCCAGACACACAGGGCACACATGTGCTGTCAGCTCCTCCCAGCTCTGCTCTGTGTGTTAACCCCCTCGCCCTCGCGGCCCACTCTGCGCGTCAACCCCCTCGCCCTCGCGGCCCACACTGCGCGTCAACCCCCTCGCCCTCGCGGCCCACTCTGCGCGTCAACCCCCTCGCCCTCGCGGCCCACACTGCGTGTCAACCCCCTCGCCCTCGCGGCCCACACTGCGTGTCAACCCCCTCGCCCTCGCGGCCCAAGACCTCATGAGTGCAACCTGACTTCACAGGCCAGTTAACTTGAACAGGGCAGGGAAGTGACCTCCCACGCTCTGGGGAACAGGCAGAAGGGCCACGTGGGTCTCAATACTGCTGATCAAGGAAGGTGGGGGAGCATTCTTCTCTGTGGGCATTGTGGTTTTTATGGAAGAGAAAAAAGTTTAATGACTCAGGAAGAGCCAACCAGCCTGTGGCACCTCAAAAGGCCATTTCCAGAAGGACTGGCGTGGGTGGTCTGAGAGGCTTCAGACAAGGGCCTGACCCTGGGGAGTTCCTGGGCTGGGGGCAGGGCTGCTTGAGGGAGACACAGGCCTCGGCCCGTCCTCAGACCTTCCCTCTGCAATTCCAGAAATGGCCCGGGATTGGGGTGTGCAGAGAAGGGTCTGGGGCCACCATCAGAGTTTCAGCTTTGCGTCAGAAACATGCTGTCCACTCACAAGTTCCATCCGGAGGACAAGTACTCCACAGGGCCCAGGCCGGCGACCTTCAGGAACAGCTCCACCCCATAGACTGCGGACAGAAGGAGTCCATCGGCAGCAGCCCCGCCACATCCTCCCCCTGCTCGGTCTCCTCTTTGAGGCTCCTCCACAGTCTGCAGCCTTCCTGCTGGCCATGTGCCCTCCAGGCTGAGCCCAGGCCTCACTCATGTCCCACCGTGAGAGCAGGTGCTCCATGAGAGGGCCCAGATGGTGGGCAACTGAGTAATCTGCTTAAAAGAAACTGGCCAGGCATAGTAGTTCATGCCTATCATCCCAGCACTTTGGGAGGCCAAGAGAGGAGGATCACTTGAGCCCAGGAGTTGGAGACCAGCCTGAGCAACATAGTGAGACCCCGTCTTTACAAAAAATACAAAAATTAGCCAGGCATGGTGGCGCTGTGTGCCTATAATCCCAGCTACTTGGGAGGCTGAGGCTACTTGGGATCCCTTGAGCCCGGGAGGTTGAGGTTGCAGTGAGCTATGATCACACCACTGCACTCCAGTTTGGGCAACAGAGAAAGATCCTGCCAAAAAAAAAAAAGAGAGAGAGAAATCCTCCCTTCCCGTCTCTGGGCAGGGCCCTGCTAACCATCTGTCCATCCAACAGGTGTGTCCTGACCACCCCTTCCATCTTGGGCCTTGCACTGGGTACCAGGTGTGCAACAGTGACCAGTGCAGGGCACCCCTTGGGGCAGAGAGCTTATCAGCTCGGTGGGAGAAAAGACGCCAACAGGGAATGACAGCACAGTGTGCTCAGACTTGATAGAAGGGGCAGGAAAGTCAGGAAGAGGCTGGGGGAGACGCCACCAGGCAGAGGAAACCCCTGTGCACAGCCCAGAGGCAGGCGAGAGCAGCAGGCAGCAGAGGCCACTGAGGAGGGCAACAGCGTGCAGCGGGGGACACGGCGCTGGCAAGCGAGTGGAGGGCCACACACGCCTAGGATTCTGGGCTCCATCCAGAGGGCAGTGGACAACCACGAAAGAGTTTTAAACGGGGACAACACGGAATCCGACTAAATACTCCGTCTCTTTATAGCTTCCTGTTTTAGAGAAGAACCATGAGGTTCTATACTGAATAAAAGTTCTCCCAGACAATTTTAAAACAAGCAGTCCAGCAAAGCCATGTCAGAAACTTACTAGTTAGAAAGACGAGGTAACTCCAGGGCACGTGCTTGGAGAAGAAGTTCCCACCTGTAAGGCAGAGAAGTAGCAGCTCACAGGCAAGCTGGGTGTGCCAGCCAGGACATGGCCAGTCCCCAGGCAGGGCTCACCTTTCAGCATAAACGTCTCCACGAGGATCCAGACCCCGTTGACTGCCACCACCAAGTCTGAAATACACAGGCCCGTAAAAGACAGAGAAATAACGGGGGGCTTAGAAATCTGCAGGTCACAGTTGCCGTCCCTGGTTAACTTCCTGGAGCTCTATGGGATGGGGAGAACAGGGCTGCTCCACACACCCATTTGATTGGGAACGTCTTTCTGCTCAGTGCTCTTACCAAGGGAGCTAAATCAACCAGTGTTTTCACCTAGAAACAGCTACAAATTTCTAAAAACACTCCCTCTGTCACTGTGTGAACACCAGTTATGATGTAGAGATTATTCCAAATTGGTGTAAAAGATGGACAATATACAAGGCATTCAAGGATTGAAAACATGTGTTTTCCCCTAGAGACTTCTAATTTTAAAAAATTGCATGAACTCTTTAGAAAAACTGCATATGCATTAAGCCATTCGCCTAGCGATCCCACTTTCCAGAAACCATCCCAATGATGCACTGGCAAAAATGTAAGATGTATCTGAAAGCTATTCACTGCAGCACTATTTGTGATAGCAAAACACTGGCAACAATCTCAATGATCATCAGTAGGGGAGTGGTTGAGCAGACTATGATACCTTCATAAAGTGGCATACTTTAACCATAAAAACAAACACAGGCTGGGTACAGTGGCTCACACCTGTAATCCCAGCATTTTGGAAGCCTGAGGCAGGCAGATTGCGTTGAGCCCAGCGGCTCGAAACCAGCCTGGGCAACACAGGGAGACCACATCCTTACAAAAAATAAAAACAACTAGCCAGGTGTGGTAGTTGTGGGCCCAGCTACTCAGGAGGCTGAGGTGGGAGGACCGTTTGAACACAGGAGGTCAAGGTTGCAGTGAGCTATGCTTGTGCCACTGCACTCCAGCTTGGGTGACAGAGCAAGACCCTCTCTCTAAGAGAGAAGAAAGAAAAGAGATGAGGTACATTTCTACATATTAATTTTTTTTTTTTTTTTTTTTAGACAGGGTTTTACTGTCACCCAGGCTGAAGTGCAGTGGGGCGTGATCTTGGCTCACTGCAATGGGCTCAAGCGATCCTCCCACCTTAGCTTCCTGAGGAGCTAGGAACACAGGCGCACACTACCACACCAGCTAATTATTGTATTTTCTGTTGAGCTGAGGTTTTGCCACATTGCCCAGGCTGGTTTCAAACCCCTGGGCTCAAGCCATCCATCCGCCTCTGCCTTCCTAAGTGCTGGAATTACAGGTGTGAGCCACCATACCCAGCCTCATTTCTACATATTACCATGAATTGGTCTCCAGGGCACATTGTTAACTGCAAAAAGCCAGGTGGCAGAAAAAAGTGCATAAAATATGCTATTGGTTAAGACAGAGATATTGATATGCATCCAACTTACAGGTTTTAAACAATGGAAGAAGCCATAAATAAAAGTTGCCCACTGTGGGAAGTGACAGGGATAGAAATGAAATTTCCTTCAATATATATATTTTTTGTAGATCTGACTTGGAACCATGTATTTTACATAATTTTTTTTGCTTTTTTTTGAGATGGAGTCTCGCTGTGTCACTCAGGTTGGAGTGCAGTGGCGCCATCACAACTCACTGCAACCTCTGCCTCTCAGGATCAAGCGATCCTCCCGCCTCAGCCTCCCAAGTAACTGGGACCACAGGCGTGCATAGCTACTTTTTTCTATTTTTGGTAGAGATGGGGTTTCACCACATTGCTCAGGCTGGTCTCGAACTCCTGACCTCAAGTGATCTGCCTGCCTTGGCCTCCCAAAGTGTTGGGATTACAGGCATGAGCCACCATGCCCAGTCCTAATTTACGTAATTATGAAACAAAATTTGTTTTTTTTTTTGAGATGGGGGATCTCACTCTGTTGCCCAGGCTGGAGTGCAGTGGCGCCATCACGGCGCACCGCAGCCTCAACCTCCCCAGGCTCGGGTGATCCTCCCACCTCAGCCTCCCAAGTAGCTGGGACTACAGGTGTGAATTACCACACTCAGTTAACTTTTGTATTTTTTTATAGAGATGGGGGTCTCACCATGTTGCCCAGGCTGGTTTCGAACTCTTGGGCTCAAGCAATCCAACCACCTCGGCCTCCCGAAGTGCTGGGATTTTAGGTCTGAGCCACCATGCCTGGCCATAAAATAAAATAAAATGTCAAAAGCAATCCCAAAAAATAAAAAATAACATGGCATAAAAAAATCCAAATGTATATCCCATTGGTGACATGTCCACATGGAAAGGAACTATTCCAGATGACCTTAAAACACAAGGCCAGGCACAGTGGCTCACACCCGTAATCCCAGCACTATGGGAGGCCAAGGCAGGAGAATGGCTTGAGGCCAGGAGTTTGAGACCAGCCTGAGCAACATGAGAACACTCCAACTCTACAAAAAATAAAAACATTAGCCGGGTGTGGCGGTGCGCACCTGTGGTCCCAGCTACTCAGAAGACTGAGGTGGGAGGATGCATTGAGCCTGGGAAGTCAAGGCTGCAGTGAACTATGACTGTGCCATTGTTGGGGCACCAGACTAAGTCCTTGTCTCAAACAAACAAACAAAAAACCCCACAGTAATCTGAATGTACATCCCCAGACTGATGTTTCTAGGAATTATATCATTGGGATTGCGTTGCAGTTGTTATCCTGGGACTGTGAGATAAAGCAAATGAATAACTGTGCCAGTGTAGTTAGGAACCTGGATATTTTTCTTCTTTGTTGGTGTCTGATTGTCTTCAAAGACAATCTGGATTTTAAGATTGAGAATCTAGGCCAGGCACGTGGCTCACGCCTGTAATCCCAGCACTTTGGGAGACTGAGGTAAGTGGATCACCTGAGGTCAGGAGTTCGAGACCAGCCTGGCCAACATGGTGAAACTCCATCTCTACTAAAAATACAAAAATAGCCAGGCGTGGTGGCGCACACCTGTAATTCCAGCTACTCGAGAGGCTGAGGGAGGAGAATCACTTAGAACCCGGGAGGTGGAGGTTGCAGTGAGCTGAGATCACGCTAGCCTGAGAGACTGAATGAGACTCTGTCTCACAAAAAAAAAAAAAAAAAAAAAAAAAAAAAAAAAAAAGGATTGAGAATCTAGATGTGTAAGATTCATGAAATCAGTCTTACACATCTAAATTCTTAATCTTAAAATCCCTGTAGGCCTGAATGTGAAGTATCAGCATGAACTCACAACAGTTTATCTTTTTTTTTTTTTTTTTTTTTGAGACGGAGTCTTGCTCTGTCACCCAGGCTGGAGTGCAGTGGCCGGATCTCAGCTCACTGCAAGCTCCGCCTCCCGGGTTTACGCCGTTCTCCTGCCTCAGCCTCCCGAGTAGCTGGGACTACAGGCGCCCGCCACCTCGCCCGGCTAGTTTTTTTGTATTTTTTAGTAGAGACGGGGTTTCACCGTGTTAGCCGGGATCGTCTCTCGATCTCCTGGCCTCGTGATCCGCCCGTCTCGGCCTCCCAAAGTGCTGGGATTACAGGCTTGAGCCACCGCGCCCGGCCACAACAGTTTATCTTTAAAGAAACAAAACCCTAGTTCTGTCCATGGGAAGGCCTAGAAACAGTGACCAACCCAAGCAACGAGCACTCAACGCCTCGAATTGTGTCTCTAACACCATCTCCTACTAAAAGGAACCAGAGCTCCTTGGAAAGACCAAATTGGATCAAGCCTCTAGGTTAGTACTATCCAAGGGAATTTTCGTGACAATGAAAATTTTCTTATCTGCACCATCCAATTGGTAGTCATTAGCCATTTGTGGCTATTAAGAACTTGAAATGTGACTGCTAAGCTGATTTTTTCATTTTAATTAGCTTAAATGTAAATGGCCGCATGTGGCCAATGGCTTCCACACCGCACAGCATAGTTCTAGATAGAACTACTAAATTCCAGGAAAGGGCAACAGAGGAACACACAAAACCCAAATCCTGCTTCCTCACCTAAATACTGCATGAGGGGAGGAAGAGGAGCCTAGAGATTAAAACAAACTCAAGAGACATATCGACCAATCAACTCTGTAGTTCTGGAATTTGCTTCCAAAAAATCTAGGGCTAGAGGGGATGATAAGCCACAGTGAGGATACAGATGGGTGACGGGCACGGGGATGCGTGTGGTAATGTTTTCTCCAATTTTATACATGCTGAGAATTCCCCACAGTAAAAAGTCAAACACAGGATTCTAGGACCAATCTCTTGCCTCTCCTGCTTCTAGAACAGCAAAGGACTCAGGGAGAAAGTGGCCTAGAGTGGAGATATTTCATACTTACACATGAAATACTGGAAGGCCTTGGACTTCACAAGGATATTAATGCCTATTTGAAGAAAAGACTTGTTAAAATGTAAATTTATGCACTTGTTTCCCCTACCGTATCCTTCATTTTTTATTTTTTATTTTATTTTATTTTTTTGAGACGGAGTCTTGCTCTGTCGCCCAGGCTGGAGTGTAGTGGTGCGATCTTGGCTCACCGCAAGCTCCGCCTCCCGGGTTCACGCCATTCTCCTGCCTCAGCCTCCCGAGTAGCTCGGACTACAGGTGCCCGCCACCACGCCCAGCTAATATTTTGCATTTTTAGTAGAGACGGGGTTTCACCGTGTTAGCCAGGATGGTCTTGATCTCCTGACCTCGTGATCCACTCACCTCAACCTCCCAAAGTGCTGGGATTACAGGCGTGAGCCACCGTGCCGGGCCCGTATCCTTTATTATTATTATCTCCTTCTGGGCAGGTGCGACCACCTACCACATTCTTTGTGCATGCAGGTAAGCATGGTCTTTAGCCCAGAGGTTAAGAAAGGAGGGTCCTGGCCGGGCGCGGTGGCTCAAGCCTGTAATCCCAGCACTTTGGGAGGCCGAGACGGGCGGATCACGAGGTCAGCAGATCGAGACCATCCTGGCTAACCTAGTGAAACCCCGTCTCCACTAAAAAATACAAAAAACTAGCCGGGCGAGGTGGCGGGCGCCTGTAGTCCCAGCTACTCGGGAGGCTGAGGCAGGAGAATGGCGTAAACCCGGGAGGCGGAGCTTGCAGTGAGCGGATATTGCGCCACTGCACTCCAGCCTGGGCGACAGAGCGAGACTCCGTCTCAAAAAAAAAAAAAAAAAGAAAGGAGGGTCCTACTCAAAGAGTGGTACCCACACTTCTGTTCAGACCCCCAGACAAGACTGCACTGACTGCAGCTGCTCTGGGGAGAGGCTGAGCAACCTGGAATCGAGATAGAGCAAGACAAAGCTCTGCTGACCACTGCTGAAACTGGCATGAAATTAACGGGCAATTGTCAGGTTAATAATATGAGCACCCAATTTCAAATTTTCAAACTTTACACTACACAAGCATTATTCAAGGGGTCATGCAAAGTAAGTATACATCCTGTCATAAGAGGAAGGTAAAAATATATTACTGGGGCTGGGCATGGTGGCTCACTCCTGTAATCCCAGCACTTTGGAAGGCCAAGACAGGCAGATCACGAGGTCAGGAGTTCGAGACCAGCCTGGCCAGCATGGTGAAACCCTGTCTCTACTAAAAACACACACACACAGAATTAGCCAGGCACAGTGGCAAGTGCCTGTAGTCCCAGCTATTCAGGAGGCTGAGGCAGGAGAATCACTTGAACCTGGGAGGCGGAGGTTGCAGTGAGCTGAAATCGCACCACTGCACTCCAGCCTGGGCGACAGAGCGAGACTCCATCTCAAAAAAAAAAAAAAAAAAAATATATATATATATATATATATATATATAAATAATTGGATGAAAAGGTAGATAACAGAATAGAATATATAATGTCACCCTATTGTTTTAAAAATGCATAGAAAAACGGCACGGAGGGAAACACATCAGAGAATTAACAGTGGTTATCTGGGTGGTAAATTTCCATTTACTTCTAATTATCTCACTTTCAAGTTTCTTCAATGAATATCTTTGCTTTTGTATGAAAAAAGAAAAATTCCCCAAATGTCTTGGTTGGGTTAAGTTACCCATTTTGGTTGGGTTAAGTTACCCATTTCTCTCCTAATCTGCTTCCTACCACGCTTACCTCCCTGCTGGGGTAATCACGCTGTCTCTTCACACACACATTCAGACAAACACACACACACACCTGTTTGAACCTCTCCTCAGATGCTCCTCGGTGGTCTCTGAAAACTTCCGTCAGCCCCCAGCTGCCAACACCTGCCATATTCAAGCCCACTTACCTTTGAAGATGAGGAGCGCCGTCCTGGGAAGCTCATCAAACCAGTGCTCTCTGTTTTTCTTGGCCTGGTAGACAACAGGACCAAGAGGGAGGGTGTCAGGGCCAGGGACCAGAGCCGTGCCCTGGAGCCAGGATGCTGGCTTCCTTTCCTGTTCACCCTGCTAAACTGGGGAACAATGTTAACCTTCAGGGATCTATATGACAACACAGCCAGCCAGTGTGTACCAAGCATTTACAATGTGCCATGCAGGGGCATTATTTTAGTATAGTCCTGAAATTAGCTTTGTCAGTAGGGATTATCATTATGCCACTTCCCAGGCAAAACAAGGCTCAGAAAGGCTCAGCAACCTGCCTGATGTCACACAGTGACTAATGGGGTCTAAGTGAGATTGGGTGCTGTTAACCATGACACTATGTCACAAATGTGAGGGCAGATTTGGGGGCTGGGGGCCACCTGTGATCCCTGAAGTGTACCATGCCAAGCTGGGGGCTGAGCTGCTGTAGCAGGGAGAGAGCTGGATCTTGGGGTGTCCCTGCTTCTCACTGCCCCACTTGGGGACCTGTCTGTCTACTGCTTCTCTGGTCTCAGAGGAGAACTCACCTTCCACTTCAAAGCCGCAACTTCGTAGATATCGTAAAAGTCCTTTAGGCTGCCAAAAGCAAAATAAAAAGGGACAAAATATCAGAACATAGTTCCACTGAGCTTTGCTTCTCTTACTTGCCTGCCTATGGACACCTTTACAGGGTGAGGGTAGGAGGAAGGGAGGGGACACCGTGTGAGTCCCAGCACAGCAGTGCTGGGGGATCCTTTACCTGCGATTGTTTGGATCTCCTCTGACCCTGAGGTACTACGAATACGTAATCCACTTAGTCTCCACCGACTGCACTAACTACGGACAGTGTCAGTGCCCTGGAGAGGCAGCTGCTGGAGTACTAGGATTCTTACGAGGACAGAAACTTCGCCTTTTAGCAGGGGCCTTAATGTAACACCTGGGACTGCAAGCTCAGCTCAAACAGGGCTTGTTCTCAGCTCCACAGCAGGCTGCTGTGGACAGGGCTTGGTCATCAACAGCCTGGAAGACCAATCCTGCCCCTGGAGATCTAGGGTCAGTTCTCTGTGGCCGAGCCAGGTATGTGCAGGGGATGGGGGAAGTATATTCACCCCTCTCTGTCCACCTGGCTCACATGGGACTATCCCACCCCACTGGGGGTTCAAGGGCCAGCAGCTGGACCAGTCCACTCCATGAGCTCCTTTTTTCTCAAGTCAGTTTGAACTGGATTTGTGTTGGACTTTTGTCACTTGCAAAAGGAATCCTGGTGAATCCGGTCTGTAAGTCTACATGGATAAACATCTCTGTGGAGGAAACTGAAGTCTCTGACAAGCCTATAGGCCTGCCCACCTCCACGGCCTTCACATGCCCTGGTTCACTCTAGACATGAATGCCTTGTCTGGCCACGCTGCCCCTAGCAGGCACCTGCTCTTACCTGAGCAGAGGTGTGTTGTTCTGATTCAGGGCCTTGAAGGTAAGATAGCGCTCCCTGGCACTCATCCGGGGCTTGTAGAAGCGCATGAGGCCTTCAAACTGCCTGTAGGAGATGCCGGCGGGCCTCTGGGGGAGAGGGAGGAGCAGTGTGGAACCCAGACTACTCCCTTTCCCTTGGGGCACCCACTCCAGATCCACTCCAGCTCTGTTCATTCTTCCAAGCGCAGGGCTCCTAGTTTCTAAAGTTGCTGGCCTGGCCATGCTTAGGGGCTGCTCTGGGCAAGGGAGGGAGGACAGGGACCAAGCCCCTCCCTGGCCCATGGCTCCTACCCTCTGGCTGACGAGCAGGCGGTAGGCATGCTGGATGGCGGTTCGCTTGTGCAGTAGCAACGACTTGAACTTGCGTTTCTCAATGTCATTGAAGGTGTCGAACACCACAGCCAGAAGCTGTGGGAGAGAAGCACAGGGCCCTGGTTCAGGGCCGTGAGTGGCTGGGGCAGGGGGTGCAGGGGGGCATGGGTTCATCATCTAGGCAGGACTCTCATCCAGCCAACCCAGAGAGGCCCTGGGGAGACCCTTTTGCCTGCACCTCATGGGGTAGGAAGTCGGTCTCCCAAGTCTCAACAGAGGAAAGCCCTTTGTTCCTCTTGTAAATTTCCCTCTTCAGATACATGAAGGCATTGTTACTCAATCTTTCCCAGGTTCCCCTCCACTTTCCCACACTCCCTTCCCCAGTTCCAGCTTGTCCCAGGCTGGGCAGGGGCAAGCCAGGGGAGGATAGAGTAGCAAGAGGGGCGCATCTGGGTTCTGAGCCCAGTCTGACTCTGGCCAGTGGCAGGAGGAGGCTGCCTGCCTACTGCCCTCCTGACCTCCGAGCCAGAAGTACCCTTCCTTCCCCTGCCCTCTTTGTACTTCTCCTTCACTGCTTCATGTGTGGCCCAGGAAAAGGGGGAGTGAGAGGCTCTGCAAGCAAGGAAATAACGTTCTAGAGTTGGCTAATACCAAAGTTAGCTTATCAGAGGGGGATGGAAGGTGGGGGAAGAACTTGAAAGAATCCTTTTTAGAAACACTTTCTCTGTCTTTAAAAATGTTTTAAGGGAAACTCTCTGGTCCTTTCCCTCAAACTGGTTCCCCATTTTTTCCCTGTGGATCAAAGGTCAGCACGCTTTTTCTGTAAAGGGTTCAACAGCAACTGTTTTAGGCTCTGGAGGCCAAATGATCTCTGCTGCAATTACTAACCTGTGGTCATATCATGTGATCAGCCACAGACTATACATAAACAAATGGGCATGACTGTGTCCCTGTGTATTTACAAACACAGGCTGTGGGCCAAATTTGGCCAGCAGGCCGTACTTTGTTGACTGTTGCCCTAAATTCTCACAGCTCTAAATATATTGCAAATTAAATCAAACACAAAGAAGTACTCAACATATTTCTTCTTGGTTTTGAGGAATTAAAACAAGAATATATTTTCTCCTTTTTAAGTCTTAATTTTGGCCAGGCGCTGTGGCTCACACCTGTAATCCCAGCACTTTGGGAGGTTGAGTCGGGCAGATCACCTGAGGTCAGGAGTTCGAGACCAGCCTGACCAACATGGCAAAACCCTGTCTCTCCTAAAAATACAAAAATTAGTCGGGTGTAGTGGCATGTGCGTACGCCTATAATCCCAGCTACTCAGGAAGCTAAGGCAGGAGAATCACTTGAACCTGGGAGGTGGAGGTTGCAGTGAGCTGAGACTGCGCCACTGTACTCCAGCCTGGGTTACAGAGCGAGACTCCATCTCAAAAAAAAAAAAAAAAAAAAAAGACTTAAAATTTTTTAGATTTCACATGTCTACCTGGAGAAGATGATTTTCATTTCTATACTCGGCCTGACTGTGGTGACTGGTGTGAGAATGCTCTGCGGAAGCATAAAAATAAACACAAAACTCGATCAGAAGCCTCTTCCCGTTAGTCCTGCCATGGATTGTGTGGTCTGAGCACCGGCCTAACAGCCTGGTGTCGGATGTGATCTATGATGGCTGGGACATTCCTGGCGGCTGTCTGCGCCTCCACAAATACTCTCAAAGTTCTTTGAGCACAGGCGCTTTATGTTCTTCTTCACAAACGTGTTCTATACTGGATTTTCTGATGGTTCCTGATAAATGAGGTAGAAATACACAAGACATTTCTGGCATGTGAGTGCAACTGAACAGACTGGTTAGGAACAGGGCTCTGGAATGGGCCTGGCCTGGCTACTCCAAGCTATGCAGGCGTCAGCAAATCACACTGTCACTCTGACCCTCAGTCTCTTCATCTGCACTTCGAGAACCATACTCACTACCTCCAGGGTTGTGTTTATTTATTAAATTATTTCATCCTTATATGTAAAGCACTTTGCATAGTGCCAAGTGGCTAAAGCTTACTAAATGCCAGCTTTTACAGTTATTATAATATAGTTGGCCTTCCATATCTGTGAGTTCTGCATCCATGGATTCAAACAACTGCAAATCAAAAATATTCCAAAAACAAAAGGATGGTTGCATCTGTACCGTACATGTACAGCCTTCTTTTTCTTGTCATTATCCCCTAAACAATATAGTAAAACAATTTTTTTTTTTAATACGGAGTCTCGCTCTGTCACCCAGGCTGGAGTGCAATGGCATGATCTTGGCTCACAGTAACTTCCACCTCCTGGGTTCAAGCAATTCTTCTGCCTCAGCCTCCCGAGTAGATGGGATTACAGGCGCCCACCACCACACCCAGCTAATTTTCGCAAGTAGAGACAGGGTTTCACCATGTTGGCCAGGCTGGTCTTGAACTCCTGACTTCAAAGGATCCACCCACCTTGGCCTCCCAAAATGCTGGGATTAAAGGCGTGAGCCACCCTGCCCGGCCCAGTATAACAACTATTTACATAGCTTTTACATTGTATTAGGTGTTATAGGTAATGCAGGATAATTTAAAATATACGAGAGGATGAATGTGCACAGGTTATCTGCAAATACTCTGCCATTTTAGACAAGGGACCTGAACATCTGTGGATCTTCACACCTACAAGGGGTCCTGCAAACAATCCCTGTGGACACTGAGGGTCAACTGTCTATTTCTGACGTAAGAATGCAAAGGTCCCAGGGTCGCCTGGGTTTAACATCCAGCACTATCAGCAGCAGCAGCACTGCCCTGGTGAGGATGCCACCCCCAGCAACTGGCTGAATTCCTGAAGTCCTGACAGGGCATTCCCTGCAACACTGCACCTGACTATGAGTCTGGGACTTCCTGCCCCAGCGTTCTGCCCTGAGAGGCGGAAAGCAGTCCCCACTTCTCCAATCCCATGGCGCCCAGCGCTGTGTGGGTAGGGGCAGGCTGCTTCAGCATATAGCCTGAGGCACAGTCACTCACCAGGTTCATGATGAAGTACAGCTCGATGGAGAGGTACACGATGAAGAAGACACAGGACCAGGGGTTCCGGGAGTAGGAGGGCATCATCACATCTGGGAAACTGTATTTGCAGAGGGTGACCCGGCGTGCTGTATCTGCCTGTCTCCATCCTCTCAGAGCACATGCCTTGCAGAGGACAGCTCCTTGTTCGCCTTCCCAGCCTCCAACCCCGGTTCCCCTACTCTCACCCCTGGGCTTCATGCTCAGTGGGCCAACCCCATCTCCCAACGGCACCACAGCACCTGCCTGTGCTGGGATGTGGAATATACTTTGCAGAAAAGAGGAGGAGACCCCAGGGCAGCAGCAGAGGACCAAAGGCAAGGCAGAGTCTGCACTTACTTGGCTGTGGTCAGAAGGACAAACAGACTGACGATGCTGTTCTCCAGGGTGCTGAAGTACTGCAACGGAAGAGGGGGCAGAGGAGAGGTCGGGACCAGCCAAGAGCACATGGCCGCCAGGAACAGGCTGTGATGGGCCACCTGGGGCACCCTGCCACGCCCGCTCTTGCATCTCTCAAGGAATCCCTGAGGGAGGCAGAGGAAAGAGCAAATACGCAGTCCAGAGGCCTCCCCTTTCCTGCACCTGATGTTTCTGGCAGAAGCAGACTATTGACCTGGGGGGACTTTTTTCTAGGGAATCACATGTCTGGGCCATTCGTCTGGCTCTCCGCCACTACTCCTCTGCCAAAATATTTCAACGGTCCAAACCTGATCCTGGCGGCACCCCTTTGAAGGACAGAAAAGGGGATCCCCAGCTCTCAAGGAAGGAAGTGGTCAAGTCTGAGTGACGGGAACTCCCACGTGCGGTGCACACACAAGCTATGATGAGAAACCAGGCAGGGCCCCCCTTCCCCACATGGCTACAGGGTCACGCTGGTGACCCTGTCTGAGGGAAAAGTCCTCCATAAAAGAAGAGACAGACAAATGTGCCAATTACTTACGGGGTCTGAAGGGTTAGGGGAGAACAAGTAGAAACCTAGAAGCGGGTGGAAACACAGATAAACAAAAGGATTAGAGCAGAGGTCCCAAAACCTGGTGTGAAAAGGACCGGGCAAATACAGGCAAATGAATGCAGCAGGTCAGGAAGAGCAGCAGGGACTGTTGGGGACCACAGCACCCCAAGAATGCATGCTGTGTTGAAAGGGAGCAGGGCTGCAGGCACCAGACGCTTGCCGCTCTACAGCAATGTGCTGGGCACTATCAGCTCTGTTCTTTCAAAAGAGGGGAAGTCTGTATTTTTGTGTAAAATCTAATTTTAAAATGCTGGCTCCAAGTTTTCAGACCAAACAAAACCCATCTGTAGGCTGGATCTGGAATCCAGGCTGCTGTTTTGCAATCTTAGGTTCTGAGATCATGACAGCTGAGTAAAATTCCAAAGGGGTCCGCTGCTCCCCTGCAGCCAGGGTCCCAGGGTGGGAATGCCATTCACTTCCTCCCTTCAGGAATGGACCACTCCCTGAGTCCCTGAAATCCTGAGTGGGAAAAGGGAAGAACTCTGCCCTTAGGGGAAATCAGCCCTACCCCTGGAGAAGCACAAACAAAATTCTACCAAGAGTGGGATGGCGGGTGGGAGGAAGTGAGAGCCATGACTCAGGACAAGGCAGCCATAAGGGCCAGGAGGGGTGGGGCCTGGCTCTAGCCTCAGAGTCAGGGCTCTGGAGTCCCACTGTCTTCGCCATCTGCGGAGTCCTGGTGAAAGGACCTCAGCTTTCCCAGCTGAGTACCAGGGCTTCCAAGGTCTACGCCCTGTGACTCTGTGTGGCTATCACAGTCAGCCCCATGTGAAAAACCAAGCCCTCCTGAATGAGCAGCCTGTGACCCTGCTGTACCCAGTGAAGCTGAAGCTTGCCATCTCTCAGGGCCCAGGCAAGTGCCTTCGAGAAACTCTCAAGCGTGAGCACCAGGAAACACACAAGAGTGTTCACTGCGGTGGGATTTGTGATAAGAAAAACATCCAACAGAAGAGCAGATTAACAAGCTTTGGCATACTTGCTCCGCTCCAGTGAAAATGAATATACGGCATCTACATGTATCAACAGGAATAAATTTCAAAAACACAGTATTGAGCGAAAGACCAATGTGTAGAAGTTAAGTATGTAAAGCTTTATCATTTCTTTGTCACTTGGGGAAACATAAATGTGAAACAAAATATAAAGAAGTGCATGGGAATGATAAGCTTAGGACTGTGGGTACCTTTGGGGAAAGCGGGAATCATGATCACTAAAGGTCACAAACGTGCCTTCCATTTTATTCTAAGGCTTCATTTCCTAAACTGGATGGTAGGTCCATGGGTGTTCACGTTATTATTATTCATTTATTTTGAGACAGGGTCTTGCTCTGTCACCCAGGCTGGAATGCAGTGGCACCGTCACAGCTCACTGCAACCTCTGTCTCCCCATGCTCAGGTGATCCTCCTGCCTCACCTCCTGAGTAGCAGGGACCACAGGAGCATGTCACACACCACCATGCCCAGCTAATTCCTGTTTTTGTTTGTTTTTTTGGTAGAGATGGGGTCTCGCGCTGGTCTCGAACTCCTGGACTCAAGCGATCTGCCTGCCTCAGCCTCCCAAAATGGTGAGACAATCGGCATGAGACACCATGCCTGGCGTATTTTTAAAATCTTTCTGAATTTCTGAAACTACCTGCTCTGGTCTGAATGTTTGTGTTCCCCGCCCCAATCCCTATGTTGAAATCTAATCCCCAAATTTGAGGGTGTTAGGAGGTGGGGGCTGTTGGAGGTGAAGAGGTCATGAGTGTGAAGTCCCCCCGAATGGGATTAGTGCCCATATAAAAGAGGTCCCAGAGGCTGGGCGCAGTGGCCCACACCTGTAATCCCAGCACTTTGGGAGGCCGAGGCAGGCAGATCACAAGGTCAGGAGTTGGAGACCAGCCTGGCCAATATGGTGAGATCCCGTCTCTGCTAAGAGTACGAAAATTAGCTGGGTGTGGTGGTGGGTGCCTGTAGTCCCAGTTACTCGGGAGGCTGAGGCAGGACAATCACTTGAACCTGGGAGGCGGAGGTTGCAGTGAGCCGAGATCGCGCCACTGCACTCCAGCCTGGGTGACAGGGTGAGACTCCATCTCAAAAAAAAAAAAAAAAAAAAAAAGAGGTCCCAGAGAGCTGCCTCTCACCTTCCACCACGTGAGGACACAGCCAGAAGGCACCACCTACGGATCAGGGAACAGGCCCTCACCAGACACCCACGGCTGGCCCTTGACCTTGGACTTCCAGATTTCACAGCCTCCAGAACAGGGAGAAACAAACTTCTGTTGTTTATAAGCCACCCAGTCAGGAAGAAATAAACTTTTGTTGTTTATAAGCCATGCAGTCTATGGCATTTTGTTATAGCAGTCCAAAAGGACTAAGGCACTGTCAAAATAATTTTTCTTCTCTTTTTTTTTTTGAGACAAAGTCTCACTTACTCTGTTGTTGCCCAGGCTGGAAAGCAGTGGTACGATCTCAGGTCACTGCAACCTTGGCATCCCGGGTTCAAGCAATTCTCCTGCCTCAGCCTCCCAAGTAGCTGGGATTACAGGCGTGTGCCACCCACACCCAGCTAATTTTTGTATTTTTAGTAGAGACTGGATTTCACCATGTTGACCAGGCTGTCCTCAAACTCCTGACCTAGGTTATCTGCCCACCTCGGCCTCCCAAAATGCTAGGATTATAAGCGTGAGCCATTGTGCCAGGCCCAAAATAATTTTTCATCCACTGTGAACGTGCTTTTTGAGTGCGCCTAGGCCTGAGAAGTAGGAACTCACCGAGGATGGCGAAGATGATCATGAAGAACAGCAGCAGCAGGAGGATGTCCATGAAGGGCGGCAGGGACTGGAAGATCTGCCGCAGGTTGCTGGGGAGAGATGGGCCAGCTCAGGGGAGGTGCCAGCTGGGGCGGGCCGTCTGGGACTCCTCCTTGTTGAGATGGGGGCCTAGTGCTTCTGACTCGAAATACTAAACCCTGCCATACCCTGGTGTGACATCATGCTTCATTTTTTCCTAAAGTGGCTTGAGACCCCCACTTAGTGGGTGGCGGGGAAGAACTGGGGCAGGCGTAGCACACAGCCACCTCCACCTGGTGACGGCCCAAGGAGGCAAGTGCCCTGCAAGCAGGGAACAGAGCAGAAGGCCAAGGGCATCACTTTGGGCGCAAAGGTCAGTTTCCATGAGCAGGATGTGGAAGGCATGAAGACATTTCAAGGCCACTTAGTCCTGGGACGCTGGGCCTGTTTCAAGGACAAGTCCTGTTTCTAGCTTTGCAGATGGGCACAAAGAATGAATTACAAGCCCACTCTCAGCAACAGTAGACCAGCCAAGAAATTTTCCAGATTGCATCTCCCAAAATAAATCTCAGTTGAGGCTTGGTCCGGTTTGAGTTTGGTCCCACAGCCTCAGTGGAGATGGCAGGAGAGTCTGCTTGTGTCACATGGATGCTGCTGAGCTGCCTGCATTTGGGTAGATAACACGCATAGAGTGAGGAAGCAGCTCTGGAAGGCTGCAGAAAAGATGGGAAAAAGCCCTGGACCCAGAGGCCGCAAACCTACACTGTGGCAGGAAGATCGCTTTCTCCTGTGCGTGGGTGGAATGGCAGAGGGAGAGTGAGTGTGTGTGTACTCCCACCAGCATGCAGGGTCGACGTCATCACTAACTGACTCACAAGCTCTTGCCCCACCAGCCCAGAGGTCAGGCCATACCAGGATAGTGACTGTCTGCCCAGCTTCCAACCCGGGCCTTACCGCCGGATGCCACCGCAATACCGACAGTCCACCAGGAAAATGCAGCGTAGTGCTCGGGTCACCCGCACATGGGACATCTGCCGTACCAACACCACGATGGCCTCGACAAACTGCACCACCAGCACCGAGGTCTGTGGGTGGCAGGCATGGAGCACCGTCAGGCCCTGCAGCCCAGCCGTCATCCTGCATACCTAGAATTGGGGGCTGGGGAGGCAGCGCCCACTCTGACCTCGGGAGGCCTTGTCTTCTCTCCAGCCCTCTCTCGCACTTCCTGCCAACATCAGGCAGCCCCAGAAGAAAAAAACTCCAGCTGCTGGCTCAGGTGTGTGGCACCAGGAGAATGAGCCGAAGGGAAGCATGACTGCTGGTATCCACTGAGGAGGCAAAACTGCCACTCTGCCAGGCCCCCTTGATCAGCCCTCCCTACTCACATCAGGGATCCTGGGGCCTGCAGCTCCTCTTCAGCTCCGCTTACTTGGCTACACTCTCCTAGAGTAGCACACATGCTCCACACACTACAAAGTGCCACCTTGACGTGCTCCTACTCACGCCACTCTCTGCGGCACAGAGAGAAAACGCATAACACTAGGGACAGGTGAGCCCGGGCGCAGTGGGCAGAGCTGGGTGTGAACCCCATGTCTCCAGATGAATGTAAAACAGGGAGAGCAGCACACCTCTCTCCAAGGTGACTGCGCCAGTGCCTGGCAGGTACTAAACACCCCATCACATTAGCTACTGCTGGCATCACCACAACATCTAGGGCACTGGCAAGGCTGAGGGCGTGGTCAGGACAAGGACCCTAGGGTGACACCTCTAAGCATGGACTGGGTCCATGGTGGATTCTGAATTGTACCAAAGAGACAGGTTTGAAGGTGACATGGGAGAAAAGGCTGCAAGGGGAGGGACAGATGGGCGGACACATCACCTTGACCATGGTCCGCTTGTGCCGGATGAAGGTGTGGAGGCCCAGCCAGCGTAACTTCATGCAGAGTTCAAACACTACCACCATCAGGGCGAATAGCTCCAGGGTGGCGTGGACCTGAGACCAGAGGGTGTGGGGATGTGTCATGGCCAGCCCAGCCCATGGCCACTCCTCATTGCCCAATCCTCCCAGGACCTGGAAGTGCCCCAGGACATCCTCCCAACACACACCAGAGTTACAAAAGCCTGGCCCTGCATGCCTAAAGACAAAGCCTTGGTCACGGAGCCTTCCCCAAGCAACTAAACATAAACTTGATATCCAGGAAACTGACATGCTGGTCCAAATGATGAAAAATCAGGAAGGAGCCTGAAGTTTGTAAGTTATAAGAAAAACAAATTAGCTGGGCGAGGTGGCGCACACCTGTAACCCCAGCTATTCAGGAGGTTGAGGCAGGAGAATCGCTTGAGCCCAGGAGGCAGATGTTGCAGTGAGCCGAGATGGTGCCACTGCACACCAGCCTGGGCAACAGAGGGAGACTCAGTCTCAAAAAGAAAAAAAAAAAGTAAGAAAAACAAGATAAGATAAAATTTAATATCTAGCCTTGTTCTAAGAGGGATTTCATGTAATTTACAAAAGATCTATGAAAGACACTAAGAAAGCATCAATTAGGAACTTAAGAAATAAAATCTGATTGTCAAAAAAACAAGGACTGTCAAGCAGAGAGCAGCCCTTAAAACTCTCATCCTCATTCTGGACAAAAGGACAAGACATGGAAAACCCTCAGCTGTAAAACCTTCCCAGCAGGGAAGTCAAGTGCTTCCGGGAAACAGACATGGGAGAGCTCCTCCTCCCGGGGGTGGGGAGGTTCGGGGCCTGTGGACATTCCAGTGGGCAGGAACTGACAGAGTGAAGGGACGGAAGATGGACTCCAGCACAGGGGACAGAGTGGTGGAGGTGTGCAGAGGAAGAAACACAGACTGGCTGGAGCTGTGACTTTCAGGCACGAAGAAGGAGAAACAGGAAGGGAAACTGAGTCATGGAGGGCCTCAGAGGCCAGGCTGGATGAGTGCTTCCTAACTCAACAGGCACAGGCTTCCTTCCCTGCTTCCATGCCTCCCGCACACTCCTTGAGAAGGGAACAAGCACAGCTCCACACCTGCTCTGGCCCCCACTGAATGATGGCTGGGCCTAGGTATGGGGACATCTGAGGGGCTGGAGCTGCCCAGGAAACATCTCCGCCTCCCATGGTGACCACACCCAAATGCCTTCTCCTTTGAGGCTGGAGACAGAGTAGTGGGACTATCCACTGGGTGCCCTCCCCACCCAGAGACAAGGTGTGGGCACTGGTTCTGAGCAGGGCCTGGGACACTTCCCCTCCCTGGAATGCACTGGTGGGCAGAATCCCAGAGAGACTGGCTGAAGGCCATTCACTCCAGCAGGGACACCCAGGCATTTCGGCTCCCAAGGCCTCTATGACTGCCTGGTATCTCTCTGTTTTAAGTCTGTTTGCAGTGTTTGTCCTCCCAGTATGTTCCTTTTTGGGGTTCTGTTGTTTGCCCTGAAAGCCGTGGCTCCCAGCCCCCCATGTGAGGAGCATGTGTGCTCACGTAGATGCCGAGCCGGAGCGCGGGGACGGCGGGGGCCTCGCACAGGGAGAGCAGCAGCAGCAGCAGGGCCGTGGCCAGCTCCATCAGGTAGAAGAGGTGATTGTGTGCAAAGAGGTAGGCCGCCAGCGCCTTGGCATCCTTGGGGTGGGTGAAGAACTTGTCATTGTTCTCGCCTTCCTGAAAAGATGAGAGCAGTGTGGGCATGTGAGCCTGGAGACCTGTCCAGCACCAAGGAGGAACCATGGGCAGGAGAGGAAAGGAAGGACCCAGGCAGGCGAGGAGAGATTCAAGCCAGAGACAGAAGACGCTGGAAAATCAAAATGATCTTCGCAAAACTCATGGTGGTCAAGTCTCACTCCTGCCTGCTGATGGGCTCAAGAGACTTGCTGCTTCTTAAAAACCACTTGGAGGAACCAAAGTGTCCTGAGACAGCCAGGTGTAGTGACATCCCAGCTACTCCAGAGACCAAGGCGGGAAGATCCCTTGAGCCAGGAGTTCAAGTCTAGCCTGGGCAACACAGCAAGACCCCATCTCTTAGAAAAGAGGGGAGGGGCTGGGTGCCATGGCTCATGCCTGTAATCACAGCACTTTGGGAGGCTGGGGCAGGAGGATTGCTTGAGCCCATGAGTTTGAGACCAGCCTGGGCAACAAGGTGAGACCCCTGGTGCCAGCTACTTAGGAGGCTGAGATGGGAGAATCACTTGAGCCCGGGAGGTCAAACCTGCAGTGAGCCAAGATCATGCCACTGTACTCCAACCTGGACCACAGAGCAAGATCTGGTCTCAAAAAAAAAAAAAAAAGAAAAAGAAAAAAAAGAAGAAAAAAAAGGTCCTAGGAGGAGATAAAGAGAAACAGGCATGAGTCCCCTCAGAGGCCAAGTTCTCCCTCTAGGAGTGCCCAGCAGAGTGTAAAGAGCTCAGAGGCCAGGCTTGGTGGCTCACGCCTGTAATCCCAGCACTTTGGGAGGACGAGGCGGGCAGATCACGAGGTCAGGAGATTGAGATCATCCTGGCTAACATGGTGAAACCCCGTCTCTACTAAAAATACAAACAAATTAGCCAGGCGTGGTGGTGGGCGCCCATAGTCCCAGCTACTGAGGAGGCTGAGGCAGGAGAATGGCATGAACCCGGAAGGCGGAGCTTGCAGTGAGCCGGATCGTGCCACTGCACTCCAGCCTGGGCGACAGAGCGAGACTCTGTCTACAAAAAAAAAAAAAAAAAAAAAAAAAAAAGGGCTCAGTGTAAAGAGCCTGAGAGGAACCACATGAGCTGAGCCTTGGCTTTCTACTCCTTCCCTGAGGAATGTTGGGAAGGTTCCTTCGCCCTTGAGGCTCAGCTTCTTCAACGGTAAAGGCACTAACATTAGTGCTTCCTCCTGGGGCTGTTGTGAAGAAGAAAGGTGAGGACATTTGAAAGGCATTTAGAGTGGTGTCTGCCACACAGTCAGCTCACTACAGGTATTTGCTATTATCATAAGTTATATGAACATTACCAGAAAAAAGGAAGCCAATAACCCTGCCTAGTCAGACCCTTTAACGCCCTTCAAGAGCTACCCAGAACAGGCACAGTGGCTCATGCCTGTAATCCCAGCACTTTGGGAGGCTGAGCCGCATGGATCACCTGAGGTCAGGAGTTCGAGACCAGCCTGGCCAACATGGTGAAACCTCATCTCTACTAAAAATACAAAAATTAGCCGGGTATGGTGGCATGTGCCTGTGGTCCCAGCTACTTGGGAGGCTGAGACAGGGGAATCACTTGAACACTATTATACTCTATACTCCAGCCTGGGCCCCTGTCTCCAAAAAAAAAAAGGAGCTGCACAGTGGCGTATTGCTACTATACGTTTACTTAATTCAGGATTCCCCATACCCTACCTTGTTTCAATTGACAAATAATAATTGTATATGGGGTACAATGTGATATTTTGATATATTTATATGTTATGTAATATTTTTTTTCTTTTTTTTTGAGACAGAGTCTTCCTGTGTCACCCAGGCTGGAATGCAGTGGTACAATCTCAGCTCACTGCAACCTCCGCCTCCTGGGTTCAAGCAATTCTCTTGCCTCAGACTCCTGGGTAGCTGGAATGACAAGTGCACACCACCACACCTGGCTAATTTTTGTATTTTTAGTAGAGATAGTGTTTCACCATGTGGCCCAGGCTGGTCTTGAACTCCTGAGCTCAAGTGATCCGCCCACCTCAGCCTCCCAAAGTGCTAGGATTACAAGTGTGAGCCACCATGCTCGGCCCATTCTCACAAACTTATTCTGGGAAAGGCCCTGCTTGCAGTTTGCAGAGTGACTGTGAGTGAGTCATTTCCCTGAAGCTGGATAAACTGCTCTCCTCATTAGCAAAAAATCGAGGCAAACCGCAGACCCAGCAGCAAACCTGGCAGGGGTAGGCATGTCAAAGGGAGCAAACACCTTGGCAGTCAACAGAGGGTAAGTTGAACATGGTTCTGTGCTCTGTGCAGGGCTGTGGTTTTCACTACCACCTCCATGGCCACGGCAGTGGGCAGGGGGCCACATACAGTGGCCTGGGAAGCTTCTGGTTTCAATAACTAAAAAAAAAAAAATGTATTTCTTGGGCAATTTCTTCCAACAAATAGCCAGGAATGAAGGTCTTGCTAGAAGAACCACTGACATGGGGGCTCAGATTTTAACTCTAGGACTTGGAATCGTCCCAGAAGAGATGGGGGGAATGAGGTCTCCACCAACAGATGGAAATATCACCCATGGCACTGGATTCTGAAGAAAACCCAAGAGAACATCGACCCTGTTTCCTGGCTGCTGATCATAAACTAGATTTGGAAAAATAAGGAAGGCCAGTTGTAGCGACTTCTAGGCCTTTGCTCTCTGCTCCCTGGGGTCCAAGTCCACATAGAAATGAGTACTGTTTCAAAGGCACCAGGACTGCTGAGCACGTGGCTCCAGAGGATGAGTTAACAGGTAACAGGTAAAATGTGGGAAGAGGGGAAACTGTAGGCACCAGATACCCTCAAAGCAGCGAGGGCCAATTATCCACGCACACCAGCAACCTGGCTCACTGCAGGACCTATAGCCTGGCTGCAAGTGTGAAAAGGCAGGCCATCTTGAGCCAGGCACAGAGGCTCACACCTGTAATCCCAGCACTTTGGGAGGCTTAAGCGGGTGGATCACTTGAGGTCAGGAGTTTGAGACCAGCCTGGCCAACATGGTGAAACCCCGTCTCTACTAAAAATACAAAAATTAGCCAGGCGTGGTGGCAGGTGCCTGTAATCCCAGTTACCTGGGTGGCTGAGGCAGGAGAATCGCTTGAACCTGGAAGGAGGTTGCAGTGAGCCGAAATCGCGCCACTGTACTCCAGCGTGGGCAATAGAGTGAGAGTCTGTCTCAACAAAAACAGGCCATCTCATCCTCCAGGAACAGCTGTGAATGACTGTGACTGTTCAAAGAAATCCAAGTTTTTCTTACATTTTTTTTAAAAAATGCATTTTTGGTAAAATAATTTAAACAATTTAAATTTGTAAGGTAGTAAAAATTCCATCAGCCAGAGATAATCATCTTTAATATTTAAACAACTTTCCAGATATGTATAGATATCTGTACACATACATACCCGCATGCATATGTTGCTGTATGACATCAATTTAAAATGATCATACAACACCAGCTGTTCCATAACTGCTTTTTTTCCACAAATACATGGCCCATTTTCAAGGAGATGCACACGGTCAGTTCATAAGTGATGCAACAGCACACAGAATAAAAAATATCATCTGGAGGCTAAACAGTTTAAATGTGGAGCTCTGCAACTCCCTAGCTGGGTGGCCTTGGGCATCATTTGGCCCCTCTGAGTCTCAGTCACCACACCTGTAAAGTGGGAGATGATCACTGCAGCCTCAGAGGCTTGTTATTTCAAAGATTAGCAGGTGCCCTTTAAAGTCTCATATTTTCATTACCAATGTCCTCACCTGCTTAGGAAAAGGAGGAATGATCAGGATCCTTAGAGCTTCAGCCATTCTAAGTCTGTGTTCTGACCAATCCCACACTCTTATCTAGCCTCAGAGAAGGCGATGTGCAAAAGACATCCTCGCTAGATCATTAACAAGCATGCCTGAGCTTGGGACAATTTTCCTAAAACATTCTGTTGCCTTAACTTGAAACAAAACACAATCGTTTAGGTGTATATGATGCTGCATGAACGTATGAGAAACAAACGATTGAACAACCATCAAACAAATGTCTAAATTTCATTACATCTTTTTTCTTTTTTTTAGACAGGGTCTCATTTTGGCACCCAGGCTGAAGTGCAGTGACACAAACATGGCTCACTGAAGCCTCAACTTCCCAGAGTCAGGCGACACCTTCACCTCAGTCTTGCAAGCAGCTGGGACTAGAGGGTACACATGCCACGCCAGGCTAATTTTTGTATTTTTTCCAGAGATGGATTTGCCATGTTGCCCAGTCTTGAATTTCACTAAATCTTTTTTAAATGACAAAACAAATACTTGCAGTGGAGAGCTGATTCAGATAAGAAAGATTAGGGAAAATTATGATGTGAATGCACTTAAGAAAAAGTCTATTTCCTCATCCAAACTCTTAATGCAAACCAGAAACTGAAATCTTATAGTGACAAGATTGGCAAGATTAAGGTTAAAATGTCACCGCCAGTGGGGCCGTCAGTAAAGAGGCAATACTTCCTGTGGAGAGGATTCCATGATAAACATCAAGGACCTAAAAACTGTTGATTCCTTCTACCCGGTCATTCCATTTCTTAGACTTTCCATTTCTTTTACTTTCCTAGTAAAATAATCCTAGATGTAAGGGGGTGGGGGTGCTATGTATAGATTGTCCTTGGATTATAATTTACAATAAGGGAAAATATTCAAGATTATCAGGTTAAGTAAATTAGGATAATTTACCTGATATAATTTAAAGCTATTTAAATAGCCAGGTGTGGTGGCTCATGCCTGTAACGCCAACAATTTGGGAGGCTGAGGTGGGCAGATCACCTGAGGTCAAGATTTCAAGACCAGCCTGGCCAACATGGCGAAACCCCATCTCTACTAAAAATACAAAAATTAGCCAGGCATAGTGGCACGTGCCTGTAATCCCAGCTACTCCAGAGGCTGAGGCAGGAGACTCGCTTGAACCCGGGAGGCAGAGGTTGCAATGAGCCAAGATCAAGCCACTACAATCCAACTCCAGCCTGGGTGATGGAAGGAGACTGTCTTCAAAAAAAGAAAAAAAGAAAAAAAAAAAGCAGAATATAAAATTGCACATACCATATGACTTTTTTGGAAAACAGATATATTATTCTTATAGCACATTTTTTTTTTTAAAACCTGGAAGGAAATAATGTTGACAGTGACTGCCTTAGGTGAATGTTTCTTCATTCTCTTTTGTATCTAAATTTATTGTAATAAGCATGTATTACTTTCACCTTTCACACAAAAATAAAAAATAAAAAAAAGAATCCTAAAATGGCAAACAGGAAAGCAGCAACAAGTTAAACAGGAATAAAGCTACAGCATTCAGTATGTAAAGAAGAATTCCCTCCTGAGAATGTGGCCTCTCAGTGTGCCCTGAGAAGAGGGAGGGTGGCAGGGAAGGCCGAGTGGACAGACTCCAGAAATTGTGGGGGTTAGCACAGCCCCAAACAGGGGCCTGAAGACAAGCCGGTGCACGGCAGTTTTCCCCTATGAGCACAGTCAGGTCAGCCAGCCCATCTTACGAACCTGAAGCTCACACACGAGCAGCAGCAGCAGCATGAACCGCCGCTGGAACTGAATTTCTGGGCACCTAACAGAGTCCTGGCTGCCCCACCCCACCAATAGGTGCAGAGAACCGCCAGGGCCTGACTGGAGATACTCACCTGGAGGTAGATTGCTGCCTCTTGGTAATTCATCTCCCAGTTGTGTGCGGGGCTGGAGGGGGAACTCCCGCCCTCAGAGCTGAGACTGGGGGCCTGGGAGTCGTGGATGGCATAGCTGCCGCCATCTGCATTGGAAGAGGAGAGAGATTCACTTGGCACCCAGGCTGAAGAGCATAAAGACACCGTTCTGCAGAAGAAAAGCCTGGCAGTCCCTTCATATGCTCACATGGACATCCTGTCATCTTCAAATCAACCTCCATGCTGTGTACTGATAACGGCAAGAATTAGCAAAGCTGGTTACAAATGTTTTCCTTTCTCTTGATAAGTGAAAAAAGCAAGTACAAAATAGTACAAATAGTATGCTCTCTAATGTGTACAAAAGGGAGGAAACAAGAAAACATAAATACATCAACTTATCTTTACCAAAAGAAACACAGGAAGGAAAAATGAGAAGTCAATGAAATCAGTCGTCCTACAAGGGCTATAAGGAACAGTGTAGATGGACACTTTTTGAATCCTTTGACTTTTGGAAGCATATTAACATCCTACTTAGTTAAAAATTAAAAACAACTGGATTTGTTCCCTGGTGCAGGGCCATCTCTTCCCTGCTGACAGCCACGCCCTCCTCCCCCAGCAACACTGGGCCATCTGTCTGGGTAGAACATCCCCTCCTTGCTCTCTGTCCACATTGTTTGGCTCTGGCCGACTCCACCCCTGGCTCCCGGGCAGGTGACCTGGGCCTGGCAATGAGCCCCTCGTCTCCCCTGGGCCCAGGGATTGGTTCAGGCATGGCTGCTGACCCAAGTCCGGCCAGTGACAGCTGAACTTGAAACTGTTCCTGGGCCAGTTAGGAAGGAGGGGCTCTTTCCCTGTTGTTGCTCGCGGCTGCCTCTGCCACCGCATGGGGAAAACTTGCCTGAGAAGGAAGTCAGCAGAGAACAAAACAATAACCAAGAGATAACACTAACACCAGCTGCACCTCTGGAATTCAGCTGTGCCTGAAATCTACCCCTTAATTTCCAAAATCCAAGCTGATAAAGAGATCCCATTTGAGTCTGAGTTGGGTTTGTCACAATAATCCTGAGACTCTACTGATACACACAGTAAACAACAGCATCAAGAAATGATGCATTGATTGGGAAGAAGTGAATCTGAGAGAAATCTGTAAATCCGCATTGTAAATGATCCACCTGAAGGAAGATAAAGCATCTAATGTTTTGGGCTGAGCACGGTGGCTCACACCTGTAATCCCAGCACTTTGGGAGGCCAAGGTGGACGGATCACCTGCGGTCAGGTGTTCAAGACCAGCATGGCCAACATGACGAAACCCCAACTCTACTAAAAATACAAAAAGTAGCCAGATGTGGTGGCAGGTGCCTGTAATCCCAGCTACTCAGGAGGCTGAGGCATGAGAATCGCTTGAACCTGGGAGGCGGAGGTTGCAGTGAGCCAAAATTGCGCCACCATTCTAGCCTGGGGGACAGAGCAAGACTCCGTCTCAAAAAAAAAAAAAAAAAAAAAAAATCTAATGTTTTGATACTGGATTTGCACAGTTGGCAGGAAGCAAATGTGTAAGGCTTACAACCATGCAAGGGACAGGAAACTGACAGGGCTCAAAGGCCTGCTGGGTTGCAAAAGGTCCTTCTGATCTTGAATTGCCAGTCATGAGCAACCAGGACCAGGCACATCCATTTTCCTAACAATAATGCTGCACATCTTTCCACATGTTTATTTACCATTTGTGTATCTTCTTTGAAGTGTCCAGATCTTTCACCTTTTTCTTTGTTTATTATATTATTATTATTATTATTAAATTGAGAGCTCTTTTATACACTCTGGATACAAGTCTATCAGATACATGATGATTTGCAAATCTTTTCCCCTTTGTGGTTTCTCTTCTCATTTTTTTCTAACAGCGCCTTTCAAAGGTCACTGAAACAGAAGTTTTACAAATTTTGATGAAGGCCAACTTATCCATTTATTCTTTTATGGATTAATACTTTTGATATCATGTCTAAGAAATCTTTGCCTCACTCCTGGTCATAAAGATTTCACATCAGGCCAAGGCGGGGAGGATCACTTGAGCCCAAGAGTTCAAGACTAGCCTGGGCAACACAGTGAGATCCTGTCTCTACAAAAAAATTAAAATAAAAAAGATTCCACATCAAGGCACAGTGGTGTAAGCCTGTAGTCCCAGCTGCTAAGAAGGCTGAGGTGGGAGGATCACCTTAGCCTGGTAGTTTAAGCCAGCCTGGACAACACAGAAAGACACTGTCTTTAAAAAAGAAAAATAAAAACAAAGATTTCACATCAATACCTCAATGCCTTGATTACTGTGGCTTTACAGGTCTTAAAATCAGGTAAATGTTGGCAGGGCACAGTGGTTCACGCCTGTAATCCCAGCACTTTGGGAGGCCAAGGTGGGCGGATCACGAGGTCAGGAGATCAAGACCATCCTGGCTAACATGGTGAAACCCTGTCTCTCCTAAAAATGCAAAAAAATTAGCCAGGCGTGGTGGTGGGCGCCTGTAGTCCCAGCTACTAGGGAGGCTGAGGCAGGAGAATGGCGTGAACCCAGGAGGCGGAGCTTGCAGTGAATGGAGATCGCACCACTGCAATCCCGCCTGGGGGACAGAGCGAGACTCTGTCTCGAAAAAGAAAAAAACAAAAAACCAGGTAGTGTTAATCCTCCAATTTTGTTCATCTTTTTTTCAAAGTTGTTTTGGCTAGCCCAGTTCTTTTGAACTTCCATATAAACTTCAGAATTAGTCGATTTCTTTGTCCCTAATCTAGGAGTCCAATCAATCAATCAATCAATAAAAACCCAGCCTGAGGAATATAGTGAGACCCTATCTCTACAAAAAAAATTTTTTTTAAAGTAAAAAAATTAGGCATGGTGGCATGTGCCTATAATCCCAGCACTTTGGGAGGCTGAGGTGGATGGATCGCTTGAAGTCAAGAGTGAAGACCAGTCTGGGTAACATACTAAGACCTCATCTCTACAAAAAGTATAAAAATCAGCTGGGCATGGTAGCTTGCACCTATAGTCCCAGCTACTCAGGAGGCTGAGGTGGGAGGATTACTTGAGCCTGAGAGGTCAAGGCTAGAGTGAGCTATGATCATGCTACTGCATTCTAGCCTGGGTGACAGAGCAAGATCCTGTCTCAAGAGTAACAGGCCAGGCGCAGTGGCTCACACCTGTAATCCTAGCAATTTGGGAGGCCAAGGCAGGTGGATCACCTGAGCTGAGGAGTTCGAGACCACCCTGGGCAACAAAGTGAAACCCCACTGGTCTCTACTAAAATACAAAAATTAGCCGGGCATGGTGTCACGCACCTGTAGTCCCAGCTACTCAGGAGGCTGAGGCATGAGACTCACATGAGCCCAGGAGGTGGAGGCTGCAGTGAGCCAAGATTACGCCACTGCACCCCAGCTTGGGCTGCAGAATGAGACTCTGTCTCAAAATAAATAAATAAATAAACAAACAAACAAATAGTCAATTTCTACTTAAAAAAAAAGCCTGCTGGGATTTGATTGAAATTATGCCAAATCTATCCATGAGACATCTTAAAAACTCATGAATATGGTATATCTCTCAGTTTATTTTGATCTTCTTTAATTTCTCTTAGTAATGTTTTGTAGCTTTCAGTATATGGACCTGACACATCTTTTGTTAGATTTATCACGAAGCCTTTCATATTTCCGATGCTGCTGTAAATGAAGTTGCCTTTTAATCTCAATTTCCAATTGTTTGTTGTTAGTATACAGAAATACGACTAATTTTTATATATTGGCCTTCTATCCTGCAACCTGGATAAGCTCACTTAAAAGGTCTAGTAGCCTCTTTTGTAAATGTCATGAGCTTTTCTATACAGAAGATCATGTTGTCTGACAATAAGGACAGTTTTATTTCTTCCTTTCTAATCCAGATGCCTTTTGTTTTTCTTGCCTTATGGCACTGTTTAGAACCTCCCTTACAATACTGAATAAAAGTGATAAGAAGGGATATCTTTGTCTCATTCCCCATCTTAGGGGAAAAGCATGCAGTTTTTCACCACTCAGTATGATGTAAGCTAGAAGTTTCTCGTAGATACTCTTTATCAGGCTGAGGAAATTCCTTTCTATGCCTAGTTTGTTGTAAGATCTTACCATGAATAGGAGCTGGATTTTGTCAAACACTTTGTCTACTTTGAGATGATTTCAGCTTGAGTATCCCTAATCTGAAAATCTGAAATCCAAATGCTCCAAAATTCCATACTCTTTGAGTACCAACATGACACTCAAAGAAAATGCTCACTGGAGCATTCTGGATTTCATATTTTCAGGTTAGAAATAACCAATAAGTATAATGCAAATATTCCAAAATCTGAAAAAAATTAAAAATCAGAAATACTTCTGGCCCCAAGCATTTTGGAAAAGGGACAGTCAGTCTGTATATGGTTTTTCTTTCTCCTTTGGTTAATATAGTGAATTACAATGATTGGTTTTTGAACATTAAACCAACCCTGCATTCCTGAGCTAAGTCCCTCTAGTCATGATGTATTATCCTTTTTTATATATTATTGCATTTGCTAAAATTGTTTCAATTTTTTGCATCTATATCCACGCAGAATGTTAGTCTGATGTTTCTTTCCTTGTGATGTCTTTGCTGGTTTGGGTATGAAGGTAATGCTGGTCTCATAAAATGCGCTAGAAAATATTTCCTCCTTTTCAATTTTCTGGAAGACTTTGGGTCAAATTCGTATAATTTATTCCCTAATGTACAGCGTTCACCAGGAAAGCTATCTGGGCCTGAAGTTTTCTTTCTAGGAAAGTTTTTATTACATATTAACCTTCTTCAGTACATATAGAGCCACTCAGGTTTTCTATTCTTACTGAGAAAGCTTTGGTGGTTTGTATCTTTTAATAAATTTGTCAAGAGGTTAAGCAATCTGTCCAAGATCACACAGCTGTAAGGGCTGAACCAGGCTTTGGCCCCTAGCAGCTTGCCTCCAGAGCAGATGCACTTAACCACTATGCAGTACTACCACCCCCTTTAAGGAAGAGGAGTCGAGGATGAGGAATGCAGATGATGATTTTAATCTACTGGTAGCAAACATTTATTGAGGTTTACTATATGCCAAAA